AAGTCAGCCTTTAAATCATTGCCTGTCTCAGTCTAGTTCCCACTGCTTTCTTGGACTCAGTCTTAAGGATAATAATTATGCCTGCTTCTCAGTTTTCCACCAAGCACATGCAGGCCCCAGAGGAGGGGAGGGAATGAGCAAATCACATCATTGCCAACAACAGCGGGGACTTAATTTCCGATCGAGGTATGGGGGACGTGGGGCGCTCCCCACCAAAACCTTGGCCTTCTACGTTTGGACAGTGCTCTGGTCCTTGCTTTTCTTAGGAAGCATCTCACGGCAGGTGGGTGGCATCTGCCTGAACTGCTTCACTCCCCTTCCCCAATTCCCCTCCCGGCCTCGTTCTTTAATCTCGGTATGCAAGCGGGTAAATCTAGTCTCAGTGGATGCCTGTCTAGGAGCTGCTTGGGGGGGGGGGGTCAGTGGGGAAGGCTTGGGGGGCACCCTCTTGTCCAGCCGCCGCAGCAGCTTTTATAAAGGAGGACGGCGAGGCTGTCATGTTGCCACAGAACGCGGCCACCTTCTGCATGACCCGCTGCAGTATGATTTTTCCGTGGGCAGTTATTTTTATTCTGCCAGGTTTTGGCTGGATTTTAAATCTGACCTGCTGAGGATTTGTTTTATTGGCCCGTTTTAATGTTGTCAGACAGTTTGGGGGCTGTTTCAGGGCCGAAAGGCAGCATATCAGTTATGCTATAAATAAATCAAAAACAGTTTTCATTTTCATGGTAACTTTGATGTAATTTTTCTTCCTGGAGCAGCTGGGATGCCCAGGGGGCATTCCAGGGACCATTCTTCTAAGCGCACACTTGACTCTGGCCTCACTCCGGGGGCATAGATCTAGATTTTGGGACGGCGTGCTGCTTCAGAATCAGATCTGTAATGCAGAGGGAGGGACAGCTGGGTGCTTGCACGCCGTTCTTTCTTCCGGCCGGGGCAACTCCCAAGTTATGACCGATGCGGCAGCAAAGGATCGGGCGAGCCGTTCTGGGGCTCCCTCTCCACCCAGCCTCAGCCCCAGCAGCTCCCCGAAAGGACTGTGGCAAAGGCGCCGTGCAGAACGCAAAAGCGCCAGCTTTCCCTGGCAGAGCCCTGCGGGGCGCGAGCCTGGCCCGGGGGCTTGGAGGCTGCCCCAGGCAGCTCAGCCACGGCACACAGCACGGGGTGAGGGGTGGCTTGTGGGCGTGGAGGGCAATCCGGTCCTGCTCCTCCAGACGGCGATACGCCACCCTCCAGGGCCAGGGGCCGGGGCCTGTATGCCCCGTTTGCTGGGGCACATGGGTGGGAGGCTGCTGCCGCTCCCCAGTCCTGCTGTGGGATTCCCACGGGCAGCTGCCTGAGCGGAACACGGGTCTCGTCTGTATGTGCAAGAGGGGCTGCCCGGCGTGTTTAAATTAGCAACCCCGTGCAGCAGTCCTGCCGGGCAAAGGGTATTCCCCCCAGAGGCCGGCGTGGCGCCTGCACCAGCCCAGAGTCCCGCTGAGGCCCCCAGGCAGTCGCGCGCGTGTCTCTCACGGCGGCGGCCTTCCTGCGCTCGGTCGCAGGGGCTGAGCTTCTCCCGTATCCTGGCGTCCCGTAGCTGGCGTTATCCCGAATGCGCCCCTTCAGCCCTCCTTCCACCCCTTCGCCACTCACATCCCGAGCGCAGAGGCTTTGCCGCTAGTTTGCGTTAGGTAGTGCAAAGGCATTGCGGTCGGGCGACGTGTTTGAAGCGGGCACCGCACGCTCCTCCTGGTGCGCATCAAGAAGACTTCACTGGGAATGGGCAGAGTCCCGTGCAGATTTGTAGCCAGAACAGAGAATGAGCCCATGCGCGCCTTGGAATGAGCAGTGGCGTAAATCCCCTCCTTTTTCTCCCGTTTGCCCATCGCTGCCGTGGCCTCTTCACATCTTCTTTCAGATTTCAGTTTTTCTACATGCTTGCAAAGCACCTCATTCACCTTGGGCCAGGTGCACCTGGTGAGACACGATGCCGGCCAGACCTCACTACCGCAGGAAGTGTGGCTCTGTTTATTAATTTTATTGTGAATGTTGATAGATCAAACTAATAAAAACCATAAAATAAAGAACTATAATTTTCTTCCATCACATTTGAATATGTCCTTTGCAATAGATATTGATGCAATCAGCACACCTAAATATTTTATATATGACAACTTAAGCTTAGTTATTCATAGATTTCCACAAAGGCAAACCAAACACCCATCTGTTTGTCCATTCACATATTATGCTTAACGACCACCCATTCAGTAATTGAAAGCATCCTTCAGTCCTCAGCCTATTCTATTATGGAAGGTGGCTGTTTGTCCTTCCAGTGCTCCAATATTAACATTTTCGCTGTGAAAAGGACATGGAGACTCTGTCCCAGTTGACATTAAGTTCCAGGAAGCAGGTAGACAGCTGAGAAAAAGTGTGCAACAGTACATTTTATTTATTATTTTCACATCCCACCTTTTTCCCTTTCAAGGTGGCGTACATCAGTCTCCCGCTGCTGCTCTCCATCATAACCTCAAAACAACAACCCTGGGAGGTAGGCTGGGCTGAGAGGCTGTGGCCGGCCCAAAGTCTCCCAGGTGGCTGCATGGCTGAGGGGAGACTAGAACCCACATCCCCCGAGTCCAGTCCCGCGGGACTCTTGACCAGGACACCACACCGACTCTCTCTCGCAACCTTAGGGAGTTTCCCATTGTATACGTATAATTCCCTTCTCCCGAAGACAGGCGCCCATTGGGCTTTGCCAAACCATAGGGGTAGGGGCAGCAGGGTGGGGGGTTCCAGCTGCACTTCAGGCTGGATCGAGGACCCTCGCGAGGCAGGGCTGTGAGGATCTTCTTCCGAGGGAGGCTGGGAAGGTACCCTTCATGCCCCGGTAACCAGAGAGTGGTGGGAAGTTTCCCCGCAATTCCTGGCCGGCAGGGGCTCACCCAGGTTTGGGGCTGGGGCGTGCAGTTTGCAGCCCTCCAGGTGTTCTACGCTCTCATGAGCACTGGCTTTGCTGGCTGGGGCTGATAGACGCTGTACACCAGGGTGATATCACCGTGCCTATTACTCCCCGAGTCTCAGGGATGTGTGCAAAGCCGTTGCAGCCTGTCCAGTTGTTCAAAAACAAATAAGGAGCTGCCATGGTGAGATAGCAGCTCCGTTTTTCCTTGCTTTGACCTTCAAACATTCCGGAGATAACGTGCCGCTTTGGGCGCCTTCTTCTGCAGCAGACCGAGCCAAGTGTGATGAAAAAGACCACCTGCTCCTTGCCTAGGATGTGAGGAAGCCCCAGTGCCATGTGATTCTGTAAAATCGGCTCAGAAGGTGGCCCATCGGGTTCTATATGGCTTACTTGCAAGTAAGTCCATATGAGCTTCAGCCTTAACCACCTTATTTACTCCCAGGTGTGCTGGGCAGATGTGCACCTGGTAATCCACCGGGTGAGGCCCAGCGAGATGGGGGTGCTGTCAGGGGGTGGATCATCTGGCTTGGACTGACATTCCGCTTTTCCGTGCTGCCCTTATCCCTCTTTCAGGCCAAAGTCCACTTCCATTCTGGAGGAGCTCTTGGCGGCTGCATCCCAGTGGAGGACAAGGCCAAAGGCAAAAGGAACGGGCCGGAAAACTCCCGGGAGTCCCTTGGACTGCAAAGAGATCAAACCAGTCAATCTGAAAGGAACTCAACCCTGACTGCTCTCTAGAAGGCCAGATACGTCCATATCTGCCCTCCCGCCCCTTGAGATCGGCGGCAGAGGCCCTTCTCCGGGAGCCCTCCGTGAAGGATATTAGGAGGGTGAGTACCCAGAGGAGGGCCTTCTCTGTGGTGGCGCCCCACCTATGGAATGCGCTCCCCAGAGAGGTCCGCCTGGCGCGTTGTTATTTGTTTTTCAGTGCCAGGCCAAGACCTTTTTATTTAAAAGTTATTTTGTTAATTTATTGATTGTATTTATTGAGTTTTTATGTACGTGCCGAGATGTTTCCGGATTTTTAAGGCTAATTATATAATTGTTTATTTATGTTGTAAGCCGCCCCGAGGCTTTTTGCGAATGGGGCAGCATAGAAATGGTTTAAATAAATAAATAAATACTGATGATGAAACTCAAACACTTTGGCCACCTAATGAGAAGGAAGGACTCCCTGGAGAAGAGCCTGATGCTGGGAACAATTGACGGCGAAAGAAGGAGGGGGTGGCAGAGGATGAGGTGGCTGGATGGAGTCACTGAGGCGGTGGGTGTGGGCTTGGATGGACTGTGAGGGGCGGTGGACAGGAAGGCCCAGAGGAATGTTGTCTACGGAGTCGCGATGGGTCGGGCACGACTTTGCGACTGAACAGAATACCTGCCTCCTTCAGCCTAAAGTTCTTCCTGCTGCAACTAAGCCTCCAGAGAGCCCATGCCAAGCCCTTAGGAGGAGACAGCAGCACAGGTGGGAAAGCCACCGGACCAACGGCGGGCAGTTGGATGGAGGAGGTGAGGCCAGGTGGCTTCCGTGCAATCCCGAGCGGGGCCACCGATGTGCGACACCCCAGAGAAGGGCCGGGAAGGGATGCTTGCTCCAAGACACCGGCAGCGGCGGCGGCGGCGTTCCAGAACCTTCAGCCCGGCCAGGGTGCGCGAGCAGAGCGCCCGCTTGCCGCCATCTCATGGCCACGGCTTGTGACTGCATGTGAGCGGCGGGGGGCGAGCGCGCCACGGCCGCTCGGTGCGCGCGCCTCTCGGCGCTCGTCCGCGTTGCGCAGGGGTGGGAGGCCTTTCTGGTCCGTGTGATGCCCGGCGGCGCATCTGGCGCTTTGAACCCACTCGGAGGTATGAAGCCTGCATACCGTGGACCAGGATTCATCGCCTGGGATACTCATTCTGAATTCCGGCGTGCTTTTCGCTCTCGTGCGTGTGTGGGCAGCCGAGGCACAGAGAGGATTGTTCTGCACGCGCTATTTTTAAGCACAAGGTGTGCTGTCGAGGCGGGGGAAAGGAAGCTCGCCACAGGTGCGTTCCTGGGAAAAGAGGAAAGCCCCGGAGCTGGCTCTGCCGCGAAAGAGGCCCTCTTGAGACCGATGCAGGAGCTGCAACTTGGCCTGGAGTTCCCGTTCGCCTCAAGCCGCAGCAACGTTTGTTTAAGCGAAAGGACTCGGGCCAAGGTTGGCGGAATCTTAAAACAGCGAGGCTTTGGCCGGGCTGAGCAGAGAGGTCCTTGGGAGATCAGGAAACCTGCCAAACTGAACACTTAACGGGGCTGCAGACAGGTGCGGATTTGCTGCGGGTAATGCGGGGACGTGGAGCGGGGCAGGGTCCTGCATGTGTTGGTTCTGCCCCAGAGCTCCAGCTCGCAGGGTTGTTCTCGACTGGCTAGATGGGGAAAGGGGGGGGGGGGGGCTGAAGCACATGCACCACCTCAAGCTCCCCAGAAAAAGAGTGTGATGTCATTTGCTTCCCTAAGATATAATGCTCCCCCTCTCCCAGTTTGGATTGCTCCTAAAGGGGAGTAGGGAAGCTGCTAGTCCTGCTCACCATCTATCTAAACATAAACGGAGATCACTACCAGCTGCTGGGGCATATGGGTAGGACGGTGTCCTGCTCGCAGGGTTCCCATGGGGGCAGCGGGTTGGCTGCCCTGTGAGCAGAATCCTGCACTGGAAGGACCCCTGTTCTGATCAGCAGCCTCTGCCAGGAGAGCCCCTGTCGGGCAGCGCTGCGCACGCGTAGGCAGAACATCTGCGCCGGGCTGCGGGACGCATTTTTGGCTGTCGACCTGCATAGGCGCGCGCGCGAATTTACTAAAGAAAAGCGTGGGGGGGAGATCGGGGGCCCACCCGGTTGTCGGACGCCTTCCCGCACCCCGGGGCCTGCGTTCTGCGCACACTCAGGGGCACCCTCCCGTTTACAAGACCGGGAAAGGCGCCGGTGCCGCGCCGCGCGGAGCAGGCCGAGCTGCTCCGGGGGCGCCGGGCGCGGAATCCATTTCCCAGCGGGCGGGCCGGGCCGGGCCTGTCGCGTTTGCAGGAAGCGCGGCGGCGGCGGCGGGGGCGGAGCGGCGGAAGGCGGCGTGGCGGGGCGGAGCGGCGGGCGGCCCATCCCCGGCCCCGGCCCGGGTCGTCTTCGGCGCTGCAGCGGCTCGGCTTGTCTCGGCTCCTGGCTCGCTCGTCCGGCGGGTGTGCGCGTCCCCCGAGCGGGGCAGCCCAGAGCGGGCCTCCGAGGCGCCCGGGTGAGCCGCGCACCGCTCCTGGCCTCGCCCTTCCGCCCACGCGAAGCAGCCTCCCCGCCTCCTCCGGTGCGGCACTGCGAGCGCCTCCGGGCAGAGACCCTCCCTCTCGCACGCCGCAGGCAGGCCGGTGGCGGTGCCCGGCCGCCTCCCCGGCTCCCCGCCGCCACGCGGCTGCAGGCCGGCAGCAATGGAGGGCACGGGGCGGCCGAGGGGCTGCAGCGCTGGAGGGCCCGCCTTCCAGGCCCCCCGCCCCTCTTCCAGCCGAGCCTTCCTCGCGGGGCTGTTGTGGGGAATGAAAGGAAGGACGGATCCTGTGCGCCCCCTTTGCGCACCCCTCTTTGGGAGACGGGCAGTATAGGTCCATTCCTGCAGTTCGCAGGAAGAGAGGCGGGAGCGGCGCCTGCCCCCGGGGGGCATGGAAGGGCCCCCTTTCTGGCTGGGGCGGGGGGGGCAGTGATCCTCTAGGGCAGCACTTCCCAACCTTTTCCAGTCACGGAAGCTTTCTGAAGGCATTTTTTCCTGCAGAAACCGACCTCAATCCCTGATTTACTAAGGATTGTGAACCCACAAGTTCTTCCCTCTCTCATGTGCATCTCGTCTGTTTTGCATAATGCAGTAGGTTTGGAAAGAAAGAGAAAGCATTTTAAAAATACCAAATGAACAAAGTGATCGTATGGTAATTCTTTTGCTTATTCCTAACACTAACACTATGCAACAGACTCCTAGGAACCAAATGATGTGGTGCGTTTCCTCGTTTGCTGCTTGGACGCCAACTGGCACTAGAACAGTTGGCCTCGTGTGGTTTCATTTTAAAATCCGTTTTAAATTTGATTGTGGAGATTTTTTGCAGAACCCCTACCAGGCTTTTGTGGAACTCTAGGCTTCCACAAAACATGGTTTGGGAGCTGCTACTCCAGAAGCGCCCTTGCGGGTCCCCTGAGCACTTTGAACCAGCTCTCAGTTCTCTGGGGATAATTTAACAGCTGACTGTTGTCACTAAGGGTTGGACAGCCCAGCAAAATGCAGGTGTTGGATGCCCACCTAGTCAAAGCCGCTTAGGAACCCAGACTGGGCGGAAACCCTGGGTACAATTACTCGGTGGCCTCAGCTTCCCCCTCTGCGATATGGGTACAATACTCGCGGCCCCTCTTACAGGGCTGGTATGTGTATTGCTGCTACTGTCTTGCAATGTGTCTGCAGCACTGGAAGGTTTCCTGGGTAAATCTGCCTTCCCTGACCTGGGCCCTTCCAGCGTGCCTGGCTGCGGCCCCATCATTCTGAGCTGCCTGGGAGCGATGGGATTGCGGGCCAGCACATTCTTGGGTGTTACAGACATTCCATTAATGCTTCGATCCCCCTTTGCCCCCGCATGTGCAGATCTCGCAGTCATGGCCGAGCCGGCGAGGACGAAGCGCATCTTGGTGACGGGCGGCTCGGGGCTCGTGGGAAGGGCCATCGAGAAGGTGGTAGCAGACGGAGCAAGGCAGCCGGATGAGGAATGGATCTTTGTGTCCTCCAAGGACGCAGACTTAACGTGAGTGGGCTCTCCAGCTGCGGTTTTGGAACTCTGCTTGGCTTTTGTGTTATGGCACTGGATTCTGGAGCTGGCCCGGAGGTCCTTGCTTGTGCTGCCCGCTGAGCGGCTGGCCCGGAGGTCCTCGCTTGTGCTGCCCGTGTGCCCTTTGTCCTAGCTGAGGGCATCCCCAGCCCAGCCCCGTCGTTTTGGAAAAATTCGGACTGGCAGAGTTGCATGAGGAAAGGAAGGGGAAGTGAAGGGCAGAGCTGAGCTAGGTTCAGCCTTGCCCAGGCCGCAGCCTGCCAGAGACGTGGGGTGGCAACTCCACCATCCCCGAGAACATGGGCTGCACTCTCACATGCCAGGGTGGAAGGAACCCCTGGCATGGGGAAGGCTGGCCTAGGGCCACCCAAAGGAAGCGAATGCTTCTGAGCAACCGTGGACATAAATCCGGCTTCTCCAGAGCAAAGGCACTGAGGCAAATGCTCTGTTTTGCTGTGTGATTTCTTAAGGGTTGCTTTTGGGCTGCCCTGAAGCGGAGCAATCGGGAGGGCTGGGTAACCAGGCCCAGGGCGATCCGGACGGTTGGACTGGTGGGTGGGGAACGGCAGTCCCTCGCCTCCTTAGCGCCTCCCTTCCTTTCAGGAATGCCGCAGAGACCCGGGCCCTCTTTGAGAAACACAGGCCCACCCACGTCATTCACTTGGCCGCCATGGTCGGGGGACTCTTCAAGAACATCAAATATAACCTGGATTTCTGGGTAAGGCTTGTGCATCTGTTTATTTTATCCATTCATGCATCTGTGAGTGGCCTTTTGGCTCAGATGGAACCCACCCCTCCAGCTGACCTATGATTAAAATTCTCTCTTAAAATTTCTCCTCCTTTTTATTTATTTCATTCCACTTCTGAGTCGCAAGGGCAAGTAATATTCTGGCCTCAGGAAGTCTCCCCCTCCCCAAATCGTGCCTAACTTGTGTTGTGCAATTCAGTGCTAAATGACACTGATGTCAAGTGTTTCGTTCTTCTGGAAATGGCCCAAGTTGGAAGACTGGGGGAATGTTTGGGGAGCCAGCTGAAACAAAGACTGTGATGGAGACACATCATACAAGCCAACTGTTTGCAAGCCTCTCCTGTTTGGTTTTTTTTTTGGGGGGGGGGATTCCTGTGCCAGCAGCACCTCACACCTGCTGCCCACCCCCCATGTATATGGGGTTTGGTGATGGCTGGAATAGCAACCTATAAGTAGGGGGTTCCCCCCAACTGAGTTGTCGGTTTGAAATTAGAGCTTAGCAGTTCACTCCAATGTGTAGTTGCTCAGAAGGAAGATCTTTAGCATGAAAGGAGAGAATCCAAATGCAGATGGCATTCCCGAAGTAAATGCGGAGTATGTACTTGCTCTGAGAGAACTCCCATCCTGCAAGGACTCGGCTCTGCCAGTCGGAGACTGTGCACCAGCCTGCTTGTTTAATACATGTGCTCTCAAATGCTTTGTTTTTATTCTGTTCTCATCACATGCATTTTTATGGAATGTGTACTTTTTATGACCAAAATGAGAACAAAAATAGTCTTGTCTGCAGAAGTGATGTATAGTTCAGACAGCATGAGCTGGTTGCTTTCTCACACCTTTGCATTGTGGCTTGTATTTTTAGTTTTACGAGTGAGTTCGGCGGGGCGTTTCTGTATGGCAAGCAGTATTTTCTTGGGTTCCCCCTTAAATCTGGCTTCCTTCCAATTTCAGGGGGCAACTGTGAGTTTTTCCATGTTGAAAAATCTAAAGTATTCAGGGGTGTTTATTCAGTGTGCGTCCTACTTAGAGTAGACCCCTGAAATGAACGGGACTTAAGTCGAGCTTGCCCTTGATGCAACCCAGCGGCAGGAGGCGGTTGCCCTCGGTCACCTTGGAATGGGCTTGAGGTGCCTGCCCTGCCCGCATCCGTTTCCCTGCTAGCTGCTTCCCTCTCCCGGTGCCGAGAGATTCGGGCCCTGCTCCAGGAGGGGGAGCCACCACCGTGCTCTGCAGACGGTCCCTTTTTTCTCTCCCGGATGTGGAAGGGCTCAGCGGCATGTGGACCGGCCACGCAGAGCAGAACACGTGGCGCAGTGTCGTCTCCGGCGAGGGTTGTTTGCCGAGGCAGGGCTGTGCGCGCAGAGTCCCTTTGGCCTTAATCCGAGGGCTTGCCTGCCGCACGTGCTCCGTCCCCGTGGCACGTCCGTTTGTCTCCTTGTGTGCGCAAGCGGGGAGGTGGCAGGTGCCGGGGCGGCTCGCAGGGAAGGATGCAGCTCACGCCTTGCGAGGGAAACTCCCCTCGTCCCACAGGTCGCCACGGGCGGCTCTCCACCTGTTCTGCCAGCAGCTTCCATCTGCCGTGTTCAGTGGCGAGGGAGACGGGGGGTTGTAACCCCAAAGGTCCGGGGGCTTTTTGCTGCTCCAGATCGTTGGTCCGCCCTTATTGCTCTTCCCCGTCTGATGGGTACCAGCCCTTTCGGGAAGAGCTGTTTCCCCACTGAAGGGGAGCCCGTTTTCTAGCAGGGCAGGGGCTCGGCTCCCCTCTGCAGCCCCTCCCAAGAAGAGCGCTCAAGACGGGCACCAAAGAGGGAGGCAGCCCTTGCAGGCGTGGGGGTCCCGTCCCCTTCTGCCTCGCCTTTGCACCTGCCCAGGTGCTCCGGCCCAGCCTCACTGCCTGGACAGAGCGAGGGTGGGCAAGGACATCCACTGAATGCCACGGCCCCAATCCATCGCTATTGGGGTGGCCCATGTTAAGCCGGGTCGTCTCCCAGAGATGTGGCACGATTGCCTGGCCCAGGAATACACGTAATTGTCTTTGCGGGGAGTTGGCATCTTTTAATCATGACGCACAGCAGTCCTGCCAAGCTCGTGAATGTTCAGGCCGCATCCTGAATGTCCAGTATCTCCGCAGGTCATCATCCTTTTGTGCAAATGGGGATTCGGGCAGGTGCGGGAGCGATGGCCTTTTGATTCGCAAGCACTTCTGTTGAGAACTCTTGACCCCTGAAGTACTCCAGGGCTCAGAGGAGACCTAATGATGTTAAGCAGACAAGATCCAGACAGCTCTGAAATGGGACCCCCTTTCCCTCACCCCGCCCCCCAACACTCTTCCTTCATCGTTTGGGGCTGTCAGAATAAGGCCAGGAAAGTGTCTTCCCATTGAATATATTTCGGCTCAGCGCCAGCCCTAAGCACCAGGGTGCTGTCTCAGCCCTGGTTCTGCAAAGCAGAAATACAAACAGCCGTCTCCGTTTTTTCAGTTGACCATTCTTGATTTGTTTTATTATTGATTATTTATTTATTTAGTGAACTTCTATGCCGCCCCGTTCGCCGAAGCCTCGGGGCGGCTCACAGACATAATACGGAATATTACGTTTTGAATACGGACAAGTCTTTTAGGAGGCAATCCTCTGCAAGCTTGGAAAGGAAAAGAGGCCTATAACTCCCAGCATGCCCCAGCCAACTGTGCTCCCAGCATGCTCCAGCTGTCCTGGCTGGAGCATGCTGGGAATTGTGGCCTTTTTTGGCTGAATAAAGCATGGCACAAACGTGCATTTTCAGTTCATGGTTCCTCTTTGTTCTAGAGAAGGACTTTGTGCTCGAAATGCAGGATTATACCTTAAAATCCATGAAATGAAATTTTAAAAAAATACAGAGGAGTAGAAAAAGAGATCACTGGAATGTCCATTGAACATAGGACAATCTGAACATTCTTTGATATCTACTTACAATCCCTACTTCTTGCCTGTTTTGTAATTAATTTAAACTGTTACGCTAGAAGTTTTAGTGAAATGAAGTATTTGGGTTGTTTTTGTCTATGTTTAATTGCTGTTGTTATTGTTGTTGGCTTACATTTTTATGGCAAAGCTTTCTCGGTGGTTTGCAAGAATAAAACCCTGAAACACAATATCACTATACTGCATTTGAAAAATACTGTTGATGATTCGGCAATGCCTTCATGTTTTTTTATTATAGTTCTTGGGCTGGGAGATGCTTTGGGCCCAAAATGTTGAAGAGCAGCCTGTGATTTAAAGCGATTGTTTACTTATTCATTTGTTAGATTCATCTCCCACTGTGTTTCCCTCATACATGACCCTCCTCCCACCTTCATTTTATCCTCACAACAACTGCCCTGTGAAGTAGGCTAGGCTGAGGGCTTAGGGACTGGGTCAAAGGCACCTGGCTGAGTAGGAACTGGAACCACAGCCTCTGGCTACGGGGCGGCATACGAGTGCAAGAAATACATAAAATGAAGAATAGAACCCAGGCCTCCCGAGTTCCAGTCCAGCATTCCTAACCACTAGACCACGCTGCCTGAAGGCTTTTTGGCACACCTGACACTCATCTCTGCCTCTCTCTGCTCACTGCCCCCCCCCCATGCAGCGGAAGAACGTGCACATCAACGACAACGTCCTGCACTCGGCGTACGAGTGCGGCGTTCAGAAAGTCGTCTCCTGCCTTTCCACGTGCATTTTCCCTGACAGGACCACCTACCCCATCGACGAGACCATGGTAAGGGCCGCGGCGTGCTCCCTTCCCCAGGCCCAGGCGGGCTTCCCCGGGCACTCCCTGAATTGTTACTCCGGGGTTGGGGTCTGCTCGTGGCACACAGGCCCTGTTGCGTTTGGGGTGCAAGCTTTTTGCGCGGTGGTCTGCTGGGTGGGTGGCTTACGCCCTGTACGGGTGCTGGGAGATGCCCTGCTTGATTTGACACGAGCAGAGAGCATCTGGCCTTTGAGGGGAAACGGACGGCCATGGCTGCTCCCAGAAGGTGTCCTCTGCCTTGAACAAGACATATTAGTTCTTGTTTCAAAGAGAAGATGGGATCTGAGCCGGCAGCGACAGAGCAAGGCAAGGCGCTTGGGCCAGTGGCGGAGACCTCGATGAAGACGTCGGCCAGTGCGCGGCTGCTGCGAAAGTGGCAAACGCCACGCCAGGTGGAATTAGGCATGGAGTAGAAAATGGAACCGCCAAAGTCTTGCTTCCCTTGCACAGATCTTTGGTGTGGCCACACTTGGAATCGAGTGTTCAGTTCTGGTCGCCTAATCTGGAAAAGGACAATATTGAACTGGAAAAAAGGACAGGGGAGGGCAAGAAAAGCGGTTAGGGGGCTGGAGCAGCCCCCCTGTGGGGAGAGGCGACAGCAACTGGGACTGCTCGGCTTGGAAGGAAGGCGAGGGAGGGGAGGCAGGGCAGAGGGGCTTACAGTGATGGCTGGCGTGGAGAAAGTGAGTGGAGGGGGGAGGCATTTTCTCCATCTCCCTGACATTCACATCTGAAAGGGGGTCTTCCAGTGGAGCTGATTGGTGGGAGGTTTACGGCAGATCAAAGGAAGGACTGATGCACCCAGTGTAGCATTAAACTCGCTGCCACAGGAAGTGGTGCTGGCTGCCAGTCTGGGTGGCTTTAAAGCAGGATGGGGCAGGTTCAGCAGCTGCTGGCCTTGCTGGCCACGGCTCCCTCCTTTCCCAGAGGCGGCCTGCCGGCACGCCCCGGCAGCTGAGGAGCTGGGCAGGCGGAGGCCCTGCACCCCTCCTGCCGGAGGGGCCTGGGGGCAGCTGGCTGGCCACCGTGTGCCCCGAGTGCTGGACTCGGTTGCCCTTCGCCTGGTCCAGCCGGGCTTTTCTTCTGTTCTTGCAAGTTTTAGAAGTCCTTTTATCCGGCTCCTGAGCCAAAGGAAAAAAGCCCCTGGAGCGGCTTATTAAGTTTGATTTCTTAAAAAAATATTCTGTGCCACTTACAAGTTTGGACTCTATGTTTGGTAAAAAGTGAGGGATTTTAGTTCCCAAACAAAATGAGGAAGGGGCAGCAGCAGGATGGCAAAAGGCTTTGACCCCCTGACCTCTGGGGAGTGCCCCCCCCCGGCCCCCTTCATGCTAGTTTTACCTCCATGCACATTTGCAGGGGGCTTTTGACTGCCTTGCAAAATGTTTCTTTTTTCCACCTTTGGGATTACTTTGGATTCTGCTTTCCTCCTCCGCTCCATCCGGTGTTCTCTTTCTGGGACTGGGAAGGCCTTTCTGGGGCATTTAGGCTAACCTAACCCAAAACGATGTCCTGCATTCCAGATTCATAATGGCCCTCCCCACAGCTCCAACTTCGGGTATTCTTATGCAAAGAGGATGATTGATGTTCAGAACAGGTATGTCTCTCCTGAACAGGTATGTCTCTCCCTGCCCCTCAGCTGTGGGCCTCCCCGTTGCAGGCTGTTCCAACTTCCCAACCAGGTTTTTTTTTTTTTAGCAACTTGTTGGTTTTTCTGTGGGATAAATAGATTGTCTTCAGAGACAGTGAATTCAAAGGTATGCTTGATGGAATTCATACATAAACTGAGTCCATTGGGTAACTTCACCTGCTCGTGTTCCCGGTCATGTTTATCCTCGCTTCTTCAAACAGCAAATTTGGGCTAATGCAGGCCGCCCCCCCCCCCCCCGCGGATGGGCTCAGCAGGCCAGGCGGACGCCAGCTGCCCCCGCTTCTCACTTGTTCCCCCCCCCAGGGGCTACTTCGAGCAGCACGGGTGCCGCTTCACCGCCGTCATTCCCACCAACGTCTTTGGGCCGCACGACAACTACAGCATCGAGGACGGGCACGTCCTGCCGGGCCTCATCCACAAAGTCTACTTGGCAAAGCGTGAGTGTGGCCGGCGCCGCTGGCTTTCCGGGGGGCACCGGCGAGGCTGCCGGGCGGGGCTGAGCGCTGCCCCCGCCTTCTGCAGGGATCCTCTCAGCCGCAGAAGGCCGCCAGAGCGGCGCTTAGCCGAGGGGCCTACCGTGGCCCTCCGTGCATTTTCCTCCATCGTTCGGGGACGGAGGAGAGGAGGCTGGGCCAGCCGTTCCCCCTTCAGCGGGTGCAGCCACGACTCCCACGCCCTGCCGGGGACGCTGGGAAGGAGAGCTGTGCGGGACATGGTAGGAAAGCTGGATCATGGGGCCGTTCTCCACACGCCTCTTCTCTCTCTCCTCCTCCGGCAGAGCGAGGTGCGGCTCTCACTGTCTGGGGGACGGGCACGCCGCGGAGGCAGTTCATCTATTCTCTGGTGAGCTGGCGTGCGGAGATGGAGACGCGTGGGCGCGGGGGGGGGGGGCTGGCGTGGGGATGGGACCGCTGCAGAAATGGGCAGAGCAGCTGCGGTGCAGACTGCGGCTCTGCTTCCGGCGGTTGTGCAGCGTGGAGAGGGCTTACGAACCATAAATAATAAATAATTATAGCAAAATGCAAGATCATAAGCATAGCAAAGCATAGCTGAGCACATGATGTTAAAACCAAGTTTAAATATTTAAATATTAAAATACTGGGCAAATAAAAAGGTTTTTGCCTGGTGCCAAAAAGAATATAACCGCAGCGCCCGGCAAACCTCTCCGGGGAGCGCATTCCACAGTCTGGGTGCCACCGCAGAGAAGGCCCTCCTCCGGGTATTCACTCTCCTGAGCTCATTCAAGGAGGGTTCCCGGAGCACGGCCAGAAGAACTTGGAGAAAGGAACCGGAATCTCCCTTACAGGAGCCAGGCCTTTGGGTGCCTCTCTTGACACCCAGCATGGGTCTTGGAACCTCTTTTGATCTTGTCACAGAATTGGGAATATTTTAGTAATGGCCAGGAGGTTCAGAGGGCAAAGATGGAACGGTGGGGAACGGCTTGCCAGGGATGGTCAGGTATCGGGGACCAGGAGACGCTGCATGTTGTAAGTATAAAACAGGGCCTTGTTTCAGTTGGAAGATGCTGGACAGATTTACAAATGAGTGTTTAAAGATAGGAAGGGAAGCCGGCTTAAGGGGCCTGCAGCCAGGGGGGCTCGCTGAGGAGAGAGACAGCTCTTGGAGGAGGAGTGAGGACACACGCGCTGGCTTGGCTGTGCCCGCAGGACCTCGCACGGCTGTTCCTCTGGGTGTTGCGGGAGTACGACGAAGTGGAGCCCATCATTCTGTCAGGTACGGCCCATCCCCTCCCGCTCACCACCTCAGAGTCGCCTGGTTCTGTGCGGCCTGGAGCTGTTGCTAGAACAGGAGCGTGCGGGTTTGGGCGGCTGGGTGGCTTCCCACCCCCTTGGCACGTTTTGAGCCTCAGTTTTCTCCTTCTGTGAAATGGGCTTCTGACTGCTGGTGTGCCTCTTGTGGCCACTTGGCCCCACCAGACAGAGTGGCCACCAGACTCCACTGATGGGCTTCCCCGGGAGGTGGTTGAGGCCTCATCAGTGAGGGTGTTCAAAGACAGGCTGGACATGCACGTGGTGGGCATGTCGTGAGCGGAGCAGGCTGGAGCCGGGGGTCAGACTAGATGGCCCAGGAGGCCCCTTCTGACTCGCTCTGTTTCTATGTACACGTACCCGGGCATCCTTTACCAATTCTTCTGCCATTTTGCGCCCTTCCTTAACCCTTTAATCTGCTGCTTCTAGTCTTCAGAAGATGGGGCAGCCCCCAGTAATGCTTGGGGAGAGTGGGAGGGGAACCCTTTCCGAACATGGAGGCCTCTTCTTTGCAGGAGAAAGAGGGCGGGTTGGAACTGGTACAGGAGAGCCTGGGATATTTGAACCCTTTGCCATTGTGGGTTCATTTTTGATGCCTTCTCTTTAGTTGGAGAAGACGACGAAGTCTCCATACGGGAAGCGGCTGAGTGCATCGTGAAGGCCATGGACTTCCAGGGAGAGCTCCTCGTATCCTTGCGCGTGAGTTCCAAGGCACCAGCCGAGCCAAGGATCTTCACAGATTCCACTTAATCTTGTGCTTTGCTTTGTCTGGCTGCCCTTTCAGCGTTCTGCAAAGCCAGGACACGAAGTCCTGGACCTTTTAATTCAGATTGAGCGGCTCGGGGCTGCTTCTTCATTCTTCTTGCATGAATTTCCAGCAGATCAAAATATTCCCAGATGCTTACCCCTCTTCAAGTGGCGATTTGCCCTCTGGAGAGAAACGGGGGTGTTGCGCATTTGTGTGTGAGTTGCCAGTGATCTGGAGGGCATCTTCGTGGGCGGGGTGGGGTTTGCTGGGGAGAAGAGGTCAGGGCTCAGATCGGGGCCCCGTTCCTTAACTTCCTCCCAGTTCGACACCACCAAGTCAGATGGGCAGTTCAAGAAAACAGCCAGCAACAGCAAGCTGAAGCGGTACCTTCCGGATTTCAAGTTCACGCCCTTCGAGCAAGGTGAGGGAAGCGAAGTCTGGCTTGGAGCGGCATCCAAGGGGCCGCCGGGCGGGCATACGGTCGGCTGCTCGGTGAACAGAACATGGGCCTGGGTGGCCCCCAGCCTGTTCCCGCAGAGCGGTGCTTGCGGAAGAGGAGCTGCGTGGCACCTGGTCAAGCCAGCAGCCTCCCCGTTCTGCTGACTGCTTCAGTGACCCCTTCCAGCCACCTCATCCGCTGCCGCCCCCTCCTTCTTTCGCCGTCAATTGTTCCCAGCATCAGGGTCTTCCCCAGGGAGTCCTTTCTTCTCATTAGGTGGGCCAAGAATTTGAGTGTCATCTTCAGGGTCTGGCCTTCTGAAGAGCAGTCGGGGTTGATCTCCTCTCGGACTGACCGGTTGGATTGCCTTGCGGTCCAGGGCCTCGCAGGAGTCTGCTCTCCTTGGCCAAGGGCTGAGCCCACCAAAGAAAAGCCTGAACTCCTCCGGTTCTGATCACTCTTCCTCTCCGCCCTGCAGCTGTGAAAGAAACTTGCAACTGGTTCTGCAGCAACTACGACATCGCCCGGAAGTGACGCGGGGCCCTGCCGGCTGCCCGCAGTTTGCATCCAGCCCCTCCGGTCGTCCTTGCTGGGACCACGAATGCAAATAAAAGGGGCCCGTGTGGGCAGCATCCCGTCCGCCCGCCTGGAGCGGGGCGCTCCGCCTTCCAAAATGGAGCCACTTCCACATTTATTCCGGGAACGTGCTTTGCGGCTGTGGTGTATTTAGCAGCAGCGGTGGTGGTGCAGGGGTCTCCTTTTCTGCTTTCAGCAATCATTTTGAGGACTGGCTTGGGGGACTTTGACCTGTGAGGCTGGAGGGTGGTCTTGGGACGGGGCGCCACATCCTCAGCCCAGCTGCAGGTTTGCGTTGTTGCCACGTGCGGTCGAGTCATCTCTGACTTGTGTAGAAACCTCTCTCAGCATCTCCACATCATGCAGTCACACACTCTGGTCTGTTCTGCTTCTGTGCAGGCCTATTTCTAGGTGCAAGGGGAGCTTTTGCCCAATTCTCTGGCTTTGGGAGGAGATAGAAACATAGAAAGAGAGCGAGTCAGAAGGGGTCTCCTGGGCCATCTAGTCTGACCCCCGGCTCCAGCCTGCTCCGCTCACGACATGCCCACCACGTGCATGTCCAGCCTGTCTTTGAACACCCTCACTGATGAGGCCTCAACCACCTCCCGGGGAAGCCCATCAGTGGAGTCTGGTGGCCACTCTGTCTGCTGGGGCCAAGTGGCCACAAGAGGCACAGCAGCAGTCAGCAGCCCATTTCACAGAAGGAGAAAACTGAGGCTCAAAACGTGCCAAGGGGTGGGAAGCCACCCAGCCGCCCAAACCCGCACGCTCCTGTTCTAGCAACAGCTCCAGGCCGCGCAGAACCAGGCGGCGCAGGTGGTGAGTGGGAGGGGATGGGCCGCACCTGGCAATGAGCTGCCCATAGTAGACGCGGCAGCTCCAGGTATTGTTTTCACGCAGGTAGAGGCCCATCAGCCCCCACGTCCCGCCCTGAGCCTTGTCCAGCCCTCAGAGCGAAGGCTGGAAGAGGCTCCGGAGTATTTCAGATGGACTCTCGCTGCAGCCCAGATCAGGGATGAGCGACTGGTGGCCTTCCCGCCTTTCGGCCCACAGCTCCCATCAGCCCCAGCCTGCTCCGCTTAATTGCCTGGGATGCCTGGATTCGTGAGAGAGCACAAGCCAAGGGTGGTGGATTTTTAACTGCGGCTCGGCCGTCTCGTCTGGATCCAGCTGTGGCATCCCGGTGTGGTGAGTTTGCACCTCAAAAACCGCGATAAGCCATGGTTTGCTCTGCTTAGCAGGGTTGCTTCCTGCTTTGTCCCAACCAGACAGCACAGCCCACGGTGCTGGGAAGCCCAGAACGAGAGCACCGCCCTGGCCAAGAGGTCGGTCGGATCCTGCACAGCCCCTCTTTGAGGCAGGGGCCGGGGGCAGGGCCTGGCCGCTGGCCGCCTCGTGCATGAGCGGAAGTAGGGGGGACCGGGGTGTGTCCCCCACTGGCACAGCGCCTCCCAGCTGCGTAGCCGCCTTCCTGCTCACGGGGAGGAACCTGCTTGGGTGTGCTCAGCAGGGCACAGGCCGCCATCCTGCGCCCCCCTCGCTGGGCGTGTCACTCGGGTCCCCCGCTCTTGGGTGCCTGGTCCCCTGCAGAACTGAAAAAGGGGAGGGGGCTGGGCTTGGCACGGACCGTCTGCTCGAGCTCGTGGCTGTCGGAGGGAGGACATTCCACAAGGGAAGAGGGGGGCAGGAAAGGGCATCCCCACACCCCAAATCCTCTGGCAGGTTCCCCATGGCTGCGTAGGATAACCTATTGCTGTCGAGTTTCGTGAGGTGCAAACCCACCCCATGGGAAGGCCCACAAGTGGGGGGGAAGGCCAGAAACTCAGGGACACCCCCCCCCTCCCCACGTGCGAGCTTCCAGCCCCCTCCCCTCTGGTTGAAAGGACAAAAGCGACCCATGTGCCCACGTCCAGAGCCAGGCGTGGGGCCGCAGCTGCAGGGCTGCACCCCCAGGGGGCCCTCGGGGCAAAACCCCACAGAGGCTCCAGTGTGGTGGGGGCTGCGTGTGGGCTGCCCACAGTCAACCCCGACAGAAACAGTTGCGTAGGGAAGCCCAGCCAGCAGGGCACCTCTGCATCCCTTTGGGAGCTTTATTAAAACTCGGTCGCTTGTCTCACTTGGCTTAGAGCTGCCCTTGAGCCAGAACTGTCAAGAAACCTCTAGAACCAACCTCTAGAATAAACCAGATTTTTCTTACCCCTGTGATGTGCATCCTGCGATGGAAGGCACCCGTTTCACCTGAAACTCTGCAAGGTTTGTGCAAAGTGATGCTCGGATTTACACAAACGGGTTCCACGTGTGTATCCCGGGGCCATCTCGTGGGCAGCTTGGGGGGAGCGCTGCAGAGGGGTTGCCTCAGCGGCCCGTTGGGACTGCTCGCCGTTTCCAAGGGGCTTTCTTGCATGTGCTGAGCAGGCCTGCCCGTCGGCCTTTCTGGGAACGGCAGTGGCGGCTGTGGCTCTGGGTGTTGCTTAGGAGGTTGCCCTTAACGGCTCGAAAGACTGGCCCTTTGCTGCGGTCGACACCGCATCACTTTCATACAGTAACATGGCAAGTTGAAAGGGTCTCCTGGGCCATCTAGTCTGACCCCCGGCTCCAGCTGGCTCCTCTCCCCAGCATGTGGTTGATCAGTCTTTCCTTGAACATGCTCACTGACGGGGCCTCAGCTACCTCCCCTGGAAGCCCACTCCACACCCTCGGGGTCCCGACTGTCAGGAAGTGCTTCCTGGCATCCACCTTCAACCCTGGCTCCCTGAGCGTTGCTCCGCTGGATTGCGTCCTTTCCTCCACCACAGAGGGGAACAGGCCACGACCCTCCTCCGTGTGACGGCCCTTCACATACCTAAGTCGCTATAAGATCCCCTTGGAGTTTCCTTCAGGCTGAGAGGACGCAGTTCAGTCTCGTCTCATGGCGTCCCCCCTTATCTGGCTATCATCCATGTGACCCTGCGCTGCACTGATTCCAACCTTGCTGTGTGTCTCTCATAATGTGGAGAGAGCCCTGAAGTGTTCCAGTTGCGGGCGCACCAGAGTCATACAGAGTGGCAGCAATACTTCTCTCGATCTAGAAGCCACGCTTCTGGCTATGCAGCCAAGGGTGGCGTTTGCCCTCTTGGCCGCCGCATCACACGGCTGGCTCGTGTTCAGCCTGCAGTCAACCAGCACCCGCGGTCCCTTTCACAAGCGCTGCTCTCCAGCCACTTGTCCCCCAGCCTGTACTTATGGCACCCATTCCTGTGCCCCAAGTGCAAGACCTCGCACGTACCCACACTGAGCGCCATCCCGTCGTCCCCTGCCCGCTTCCACAGCCTGTCCAGACCCTTCTGGATCTGGAGTCCCTGCCCCTCAGTTGTGGCCACTGCCCCCATTTTGGTACTGTCTGCAAATCTGGCCGCTGGTGACTCCCTCCTCCAGCTCACCGATGAAATGGCTGGGCACAATCCGTCCCAGAGCTGAGCTCCGCGGGGCTCCGCTTGGCACCGGCTGACATCCTGATGGGTCCCCATTGCTGGTCACCCCCCGCTTGCAGTCCAGCCATCATGTCCTAATGCATGAGGCAACCCCCGACTTAAAGCAGGACACTCATATTTGGAGCTCATCACCAGAAAAGCTGCACTCAGGAGCTGGGAAGCCGAGCATCCTCCCATTTTCAGGATGTTCCGGTTCTGCCTACGGTGGGACTGCGGACCTCTAGTGGAGCAAGAGTAGAAGCAGGGGTGGGGGCTTATCACGTGGTATAGCCCCTCTGCTCTCAGTTCCTCCAGACGTCTTCCAGGGGAGTGTAATTCTTGACCAACTTCCAGAGCTGTGGTTTTCTCGCTCCACTGTGACAATTGCTGGTTATTCAGAATGTTCTGCCAGCTGCAACCAAGATCCTGTCCCCGGCCATAAGACGCCCTGCTTTAAGCCAGTACAAGTCCTTGGCATGCAAATAATCTTGCCCTTGAGGCACAATACACACCACTGAGATGCGATGCAGAAAACCCCAAATGCTATTAACTTCTGCAGCAATGTTACTCCCCTTAGCTCAGTAGATGTTTTGGTATAGACAGGGATGGGAACCATTTAGGGTAAAACATCTGGACAGCCAGCAGCTGGCAACTTCCAGTACAGAAGCAAAACCCCCGTTTTAACTCAAAACACATTTATTAAGTGTGCACATGGCAAGTTTCACTTTTAAAATAGCACAAAATCCAGGTAGCAGCATCTTTCAAGCCCATGAGCTCAGGGCCGGTGGATCAGACCCTTTCCATGCAGCTGCAGCAGAGGTAGATAGCAATGTGCCCAGAAAATCTTGGCCTGCTAGAAGAGGCTGCAAGCTCAGGAAAGCGGCTTCCATTTGGGAACACTTCACCTTCAGCCGTGCTCTTTCAATTTAATCCAGGCTGGAAAGTCGAGAAAGAAGGTCCCCTTCTTAGCAAATTCAGGACAATAATTTTTTCCCAAGCAAGATGACGAGCTTGAACCAGAAGGAACGGCGCTGTCATTGCTTGATGCAGACAAATACCAATATAAAGCCAGGCGTAATCTTTTAAAAAGAGTCTTCCCCACCTCCATAAAAATTGTGAACTAGGAATGCCACCCTCCACACTGGGGCACATTCCAGGGTCCGTCCGTCGAGAAGAGGAAGTCCGGAGAGTCCCAACTAGCTGGTGCCCGCTGCTTGACCAAAAGCGTGGACGTGGCAGTACCCGTGGCCTGCGGCAGCCTTTTTCCTGCAGGGCTGCCCCGTCCGGGTGACCCCCTGGCAGAGCGGCCTGGGGGAGGCCGAGCAGCTGGACCTGAAAGAGAAGGCAGCCAAGGTGCAAAGAGCTTTCCTCATCCCAGGTCAGTGGGATGCCTTGCGAAGCATTGTGGGCTTTAAAGCCCTTGCTGGATCTCAGGGGGCACAGGCATCCTTTCCCCCAATACCCTCATTGACCCACAGGACTCTCCAGCCCAGTTTCCCCGTCTCCTGTTGGAGACCTGCTGAGGGAGCCCACAGAGGCGCTGGCGTGCTTGCCCTCTGGATTCCTGGAGAACCCACAAGGAAAACGGAAGGTGGGCGTCCTCCAGCCCGGCCCGGGGCCACCGAAGTGCCAAGCACCAAGCAGCCCTGAGGGCCAGCAGTTGGGTTCGACGCGCTCCAGGCAGCTTCCTCCGCTCAGGTGGAGCAGCCGGCAGGCCTGGCAGGGACCCGGCACAGATCCCGGGAGCCCTCAAACATCTGCCTCCCCCGCCAGGACCTTTGGCATCTCGCCAGACCAATGAAGCCCGGCCAGCAATCAGGCACTGCTTGGAATGCTCGGTTCCGGCTGTCCCAGCCCGGTGCCTCCGGATGCGCCGCACACCCCCAGCGCCCCCAGGCAGCCTGGCCGGCGATCGGGCATCTGGGGAGACTGCCCAAGCGCCCGGATCCCCAGCTTGCAAGGAGGCGGGTGCGGCGTTCCCACCAACATGGGCTTGGTCGGATGGCAACCGAAGGCGAGAACTCCCCACCGGAGCTGTTGAAGCCCGTCCAGAGAAGCTGGGCAGCCACCTGAGTGGGGTGGTGCGAACTGGTGTCCTGCAACAGCAGGGGTGGGACCTGATGGCCTTCATGGCCCCTGCCAGCTCTGCTATCCTACGATCCTTTCTCTCCAAGGCTGACCAGCCAGGTACTTTGGGGAAGCCCACTGGGGGGGGGGGAGCCATCCCCCTCCTCATGCTGCTCCCCTGCCTTTGACTTGCAGGCTCTGTACTTACACGTCACTGACCAGGGACTCGTTTGGGGAAGAGTCCTTCAGGCCAGGAAAAGGGTGGAAGGAGGGGCCCAGGGGGTGCTGCGGAAACCTCTGCAAGGCAGCCTGTTGGGACAGCAAAGGGAATCCCAGAGCATCAGTGCGGGGGCTGCCTTCTCGCCAGGGCAAAGAATTCAGGCCCGGCCCCTCCCAGGCGCTGCATCTTTACCGGCCTGCCCCCCTCCATGCCTCTTCCCCTCAAGCGGAGCCTCCCCCAGGGGCTGGGCAAGGAGGAGTGGAAGGACCATGCTTGCTGCATCGCACGAGAGCCCCACGGGTCTGGCACGGTCCGTGGGAAAAGCGCCTCCGGGAAAACCGAGCGAGGCAGCAGACCAGTACGAGACTCCGAGCAGGAAGCCTTTCCCACAAGAGGGAGCAAAGGCCACCGAGCGGGAAGACTCCAGGAGGAGACGGGACTCTTTCCTGGGGGAGAAGCTTGTGCATGGCCACCCGTAGCTGTTTCTGAGCCAGGAGGCCCACAAACCCCCAGAGCTGGGGGACTGGGCGGGAGGACGGCTGTCCTGCTCACGGGCTTCCCACGGGGGCCGGACTGGAGCAGCTCTGGCCTATGCAGCCCAACGGCTTTGCTCAAGCGGCCTCGGGCCAGCTCAGAAGATGCGTCGATCTTGCACAGGACATGCAGCCCCTGCCCGGGGCTTCAGGCAGAAAAGAGCCCTTCCCAGCCCCTTACTTCCTGCGCCTTTTCACTGGAGCTGTGGGGCCCCAACGTGGGGCTTCCCTTTTGCAAAGCCGGGGCTGGACCACGGGATGAGGCCCGTCCTGAAAGCACGCTCCCTTCGCAACGCCAAAAATGCTCTCAGCAAGGACACGCGCAGCCATTCCGGGCTACAGGTGCCGCCACCCCCCATGCTTTTCTCCCTCGGCCTCCTGGAAAGGAAGATGAGCTGCATCTGCAGACCCAAACCAAGCGGGACATGAACGCCAGCCCGCGGCAATTGCCCCAGCCCTGAGGGGCGTTTTGAGCCCGGGTTCCTCTCTTGCCTGGACCACCGCCCACCTACCAGTCTCTCCGAGGCCTCATGCCTGGCGGAGCGGGCCAAGCGGAGGCGGTGCAGCAGCGTGGCGTGGCTGCCCTGACCTTGGGGAGGCTGCCACCCAGTGGAAAACAGCGCTGTGCCCTCCCGCGCAAGCGAAGGGAGGAAGGTGGCCTTCTCCTCCTCCTCCTCCTCCGGGGATTCTCTTCCCACCTTACCCGCATCTGCAACACAGAACAGAAGGCTGGCAGAGAGGCAGGGGAAGCAACGGCAGCTGTCCTCCCACCATGTACAGAATTCCCAGAACCAAGGCAGGCCGTGCAGGTAGGACTCGCAACAACATGTTGCAGTATTGATACATGCCTGCTGGCGTTGCTCTCCGTCCGTCCGCCCTCTGCAGGGATTGTCCATGTCCCTTTGCCGAGTCCTCCGTTTCCTCTGCCCCTCCCTGGCAGCCTTTGAACTGATTAACAGCTCACTGGGCTCTAGGGGGTGGGAGTCACTTTTTTTATTTCTGCAAACTCTGGGCAGCAGCGGCCTCCCTCTTCATGTGGGGAATGGCTGCCTTGCTTGTGGGAACACTGACATGCCTGCAGTGCTAGAAACAGAGGGGAAGGGAAGAAGCAGCTGTGCAAATACACAGCAGCGTTGCATGCTAGGTTCTGCCAGAAAGCCAAGAATGCACCGCTTTTAAGATTCTAGTCCTCATGAGTGTAGGAAGAAAAGTGCTGATTTTTTTATGCTGAGAGCTACAGCTTCAGAATTCAGGATACGAATCCTCAGTTTATGATGCTCATGGGTTATGCTTCAAGGTGGGGACAGGAAAATATTGCCATTAAGCATCCCCTTAGCCGAGCCAATGACTCACTGCCAAATTCATGCTACACACTATTTGGATTAAGACAAACTAAGGAGTTGTTGTACCCCACCTTCAGCCTGTGGATCAGGAACACACAGCATTCTCAGCAAGCCTGTGTCTCTCAAGAGCACGATCCCAGATCCGGGCAGCCTCCAGGAACGCTCCCCTCACCCCAGCCCTGCCAAGCATCACCTCACCTTGCTCACCTGACAGGTAGCTCAGCTCCTCCAGCTCCTCTTTCACCAGCCCAGCGTTGCCTTCTCTGCAAAGACGAAAGGCAGCCGATCACTCCATTCTTTGGGGGAAATGCAGAACCTTCCACCGCTCCTCCTCCTCCTCAACCAGAAGGCCTGGCTCATCCAGAGCTTTTCCCCACCCCACCCCACCCTCGACCCTTGCCAATGATTTCCACCTGCGTGCAGGTGCACCGGATCCCCGAAACCCATTGCTGCCCTGAGAGACTGCTCAGTGGGGCCGAGGCAGGTCTGCAGTCCGGATTTCCTTCCGGAACAGTTTTGCCTTGCTGAGGCCTCTGTGTGCTGGAGAAGCCACCAGCTCAGGCAAGATTCTCGTCTTCCTCGCCGGCACCTCACTTTCCGCTGAGCGGGACTGCGCTTGGGACGGGCTCCTCCGCTCAGGGCCAGATTTCTGGACATGGTGAGCTCCTCCCCCCTCCCTGGCGCCTTGAAGCACCCGAGGAAGAGTTCTGCAGACCTTGGGGCTTGCCCCTTTGTGGAATTCGGGCCAGTCTGTCTCCCCCCGCCAGGCTGGCCTCTGTGGCTCTTTCTTATACTCGCCACCTGGAGCTGCAGGGCTTTTTTCTGTCCCAAGACGCAATCCTGCTTAAGCCAGCAAGGGGAGCCGCTCCATGCAGCCCCGGACAGAGAAAAGGCCTACGCCTCACGGCCTGGCCCAGCAGCCTGGCGGAACCTGCCTCGGGTTGTGTCCCAAAGGCTGCAGCCATCCCTGGAAGAAGACCTCGCCTGCAGAGCCACGACAGGCCAGGCAGCCCAGAGACGCGGCCGCTGAAGGGAGGGCGCGGGGGGTGCCTGCCCTGTGTCCAAGCCCTTTGCAGCGGGACCGTTTGCAAGGGGCAGAGGGCAACCTCACCCCCCCCCCCCCAGTCTCTGCAAAGGCACGGCCATGCTCCCCTTTAAAATCAGTGCCCCCCAGTCCAGGGTAAAGCGGACAAGGGCAGGCAAAGTGCCAGGAAGCAGGGAGCCAGGAAGCGCTGGGTCGCACTCGGTGCATCCCACACCGGCCAGGGCTCTCCGTGGCCCCGCCTGGAGCCACCCCCACCTTGGCACAGCCCCTCCCTGAGCCGGGGGCCACGCCTCCCCTGCAGAGCAGTGCCGGACAAGGACAGGTGCTGCCGGCCACGCCTCCCTACCTTTCAGGGGTGGAGGTGATGCGGCAGTGCTTCCCCACGCCACCTGTCCGCACCACGCGCTGGGCGCCTGGCTCCAGCACCTTCGGAGGAAGCGGCAAGGGCGCCCGGGCGGGTTCGTGCCGCGTCGCTTCCGCAGCACGCTGGCAAACGTGTCCCAGCAGCCAGTGGCCTGGGGGAAGGCACACAGAAGCGCCCGTGTCACTTCCACGTCCTTCTCTTTCCCGCCCAACTCACCTCCAACAGGTAAAAACGGGTCAATGCATTTTATTTGGTACACACCTAAAGCCGAATAAAGAGAGAGAAAGCAGCCGGTACCAATTTTGCTATGAAAAACCATAAACTAGATACAAGTATTTCCCAGTTACAGAGAAACTTTCCACTTTCACTTGTTCCAGATGTCTTGATCACTCTTCTCACCACAGCCTGGGAAACTGGCTGCAGCTTCAGCCGGCATGTCCCACGGAGGGCTTCCAAGCCAACCGAGATGCAGGGAGTTGCACAATACCACACTCCCAAAACAAGCAGAGTAACCACCAAAAGCATATCCACGTCATCAAAATTTTATGGAGTTAAAATGTAGTAATTTAAAAAAAGAATTCAGGATTAAAACCTTTTAAACGTTGCCAACTTTTTGAAAACATTTAAAGACATTACTTTTAAACATACATAAAAATTCACAATGTTTAAGCATTTTAAAGATTTTCTATATCTCTGTTCTCTCTCTCTAGATATATCTCGTGAGAGATTGATCGATTTGAAAATATGAAATGCTCTGGTATAGACCAGCAGTTTCTGTCTCAAACATGAACCTTACAGGGCCACTTAAAAGCTGCCCCAAAACCACCCAGCAAGGCCAAATCTCAGCAGGAGAACACAGAGGTGCATCCACACCTGCATTCGAGACAATCGAGCCACAGTAAGTCACATCCTGGCTTGCTGCATTTTATCCTGCCCCAGGCAAGAGAGCCAGCGTGGTGTAGTGGCTCAGAGCGTGGGACTGGGACTCAGGCGATCCGGGTTCGAGTCCCCGCTCCCCCATGGAGTCGACTGAGTGACTGGGCCAGTCACTGACTCTCAGCCCAACCTGCCTCACAGGGCTGTTGTTTTTGTGGGGATAAGATGGACAGCAGCAGCAGGAAAATGATTAAGCTGCTTTGAGCTTGTTGTAGAAAAAGCAGGATATAAATCTATAAACAAATAAATAATTCTCAGTCCAAGGGGTGCTGCACTGAGGGCCAAATTTGCCAGGCTGAGAACACAAGCCAGCCCTCCGGGGATTCTCAGGTAGCTGCACCCCTTCTTTCTGATGGCTAAACATTTATTACATGTCTATCCCGGCTTGTTTCCTTCCAGGGGACTCAAGGCAGCTTAATGAATTGTCTTCCTCCTCCTCCCAAGCTTATTCTAAGCCCAAGATACCTGGGCAGCAAGAGAGCGGGGCGGCTGGACTGGACGATCAGCTGGCAGTTAACCAGAAGGAACACGCCTGGAAGCCCCGCGTGGCCAGGAACAGGCAGCAGCTCCGAGGAGAAAGTTCAGACCCAGGGCGGGAGGTGCTGGCTGCCAGCGCTGCCCTCCGACGGGGACAGGGTGCGGGGTACTACGACCCAGACAGAAGGGTCCCATCCACATACTTGCCTGCAACGGCCAACAGCAAGAGGCTGGTGAGAGACTGAAAGCCCAAGGAAGCAGCATGGTTGAGCTCCAGGAGCGCGTTGGACGTGACCAGGATGAGGAGCACGGCTCGTGGCAGCCCCGGCGTCTGCAGGAAAGTCATGATCAGGGCTGCCAGAAGGAAATAGCTGCCGTGCAGGACGCAGGTGTAGATGGAGCTCAGGCTGAACCCTGCAAGAGAGCGGTGGGCACAGAGCTCAGAGTCCACCATTCGCTTTGCGGCCAAGCGTCGCGATGGGAGGGTGTTCTTAAAGCTTGCCTTACGACCGAGTTTTCTTAGTACGAAGTTTCCTACGAACGTTTTGGGGAGGCACTGAAAAATAATGCAGTGTGGGAGCCTGCCTGACCTCCGGAGGCAGGACGATCCCAGTACGAGTCCAGCACACGCAACGCTCTTCCCCTGATGCGCCTTCGTTGGGCCACAGGTCCCTGTGGAATCACCGGGAGGACGGCCCTCCGAGAACTCCAGTGGCCAGGCAGGTTGGTAAGAAAGAAGGCACACGTGTCTGTCCGTCTGTCTCTCACTCTGTACCCCCATGCCTAACCATCTCTCTCTCCAATCCTCTTATCTTCATTCACCTGCTCTGAACATTTAAGGAACTCAAAGATCTAAAACTCTGGATCTTACCGCTAGAGTAAGTAGCGTGGGATGTAGGAAAAGAGAATGCAATTCCTCCCTGGTCACAGACATCCGGTTACACTGGCATTCATTCCATTTATCTAGCAGACCAAAATCCAGCCAGCTCCGAATACGACAGGTCAAGGTTCACAACTCCATCACTTTTCTCATCTGCACCACTGGCATCCCAGAACAGCCATTTCCCGCAACCCAAGCTGGTTTTCCCACCTTGGGTGAATTTGCAGCCGTAACCCAAGAGTCAGGGCCTGGGTGCTCTTGTGAAACCTACCTAGGTAGCATTCCCACTATTTCCTAACATCGCAGGGACTATTCTGTCCCTTGTTCTGAAAGCAAGGGACAAGCAGCAAGGAAAATAACTGGGTGCAGAGACGGGGGTGCCCTGAAGGGACACGGAGGTGCAGAGAGGAAGTGCAAGATGCAGCAGTTCAGAGGTTCACTGGAAAGGCCTGCAGCCCCCCCAGCAGGACCCCCGGGCCCCCCCAAGGTGGGGCTACCTGCCCAGCTGATGAACCTCTGGATGTGCCGGAGGCGTCCTTCCACGTTGCTCTGCATCCGCTCCATGTTGCGCAGCACCAGCCCGAGGGAGTCGTTCATCTTCTGCAGCTTCCCCATCAGCTCATCGTAATACAGCGCCGTCTGGTTCTGATAGGCCAGGAACGAGCCCAGATTGGTCTCTGCGATTGAGAAAACGAGGGTTTAAAAAGGACACATTCTTGACACAGCGGAGAGGCAGTCTGGCTCAGTGGTCAGGACGCAGGAGGGGAGGGCTGGGCGCGGCTTCTGCCACCAACCTATCTTGGAGTAGACGTCTTGGGCGCGGTCCTGGGCTTGGGTGAGGTCCTTAAGGATGGCTCTGCGCCCCTCTTGCAGCTCTGCGTCCTGGTCATCCAGGTGGCTGCTCACCTCTTCTGCAGGAAGCGGAGCAGAGGCCGGGGCTGAGCGTGCCAACGTTCACCGCCCACGTTACGCAGCACAATGCCCGGGCCGCACCGGACAAGGCCGCACGAAGAGACCCTCCTTGGCACGACAGCCCCGGCCTTCCTCAAGCTCAGCGGTCAGCAATGCCTTCCCACAATTCTCTGATGCTCTTGCGCACCGGTGCTGTTCCCCAGAGGAGAGGGCGCAGAAGCGGGGAGCTCATCTCCGCCTTCAAGAGTTCGAAGGCAGTGGAGATTGGCATCGTAGTGGCACCACACCGCTTCCCACACAGATGAGGGCAGGAGGGGCAATCAAGCAAAGATCAGGGAGGACCCAAGCACGGCTGTTTAGTGCCAAGAGTACATCAGCAGCAGTCCACAGGCCACTTGCCAGCAGAGTCTGCCTCACCCATGCGTTGCGTGATGCCCTCGATCAGCTGCACCACCTGCTGCTGCCCGCTGGCGATCAGGGCCTTCTCCTGGGCCAGCTGGTCCAGGTTGCTGTGGATGGACTCCTCCATCAGTCCTTGGCTGCCCCGGAACTCCTCCTGCTGGGCCAGCAGCTCCTGCTGGCTGCTCACCACCTTCTGCAGAGACTCCGACGTCAGCGCCTTCAGCTCCTCCTGGCCGCTCTGTCGGGGGCCACAGTAACAGGACTATCAGCAGCCCAGGGCAACCGGGGGAGCTCTGGGAGGTGCCCTTGGGGACCGTTCCCACCATCGAGCCCTTGAGCAGAGGCGAAAGGTGCACGAGCCATTTCAGCCCGGTTTCCACCACCATCCAGAGCGGCTCTTATGGGCCTCTCTTGGGTCTTAGTCTCTGATCTGAGACGAAGCCTCCCTCGAAACAGGGATAGTCACAGCGACACATCATGGCTGTGCGGAACGTTCACCCCAAGCACCCGAGAGCTGGCGTGCTGGTTAGAGGGGAGATCCGCATTCTAGCCACACACCCCCCCCCGCCGCCCGGCCGGCCATGATGCCCACTGGGTGGCTTTGGGCCAGCCCCTCGCTCTCAGCCCAGCCCACCTCACAGGGTGGTTGTTGTGAGCATGAAATGGAGCGATGGAAGATGCCCCGGGTTCCTCACGAGAGGAAGAGGGCAGGATACAAAAGCTGAGCCTGTCACGCTTGGGGCACAACCCGAGAAGGCAGAGCTCCTTGGAGGAGACCTCATGCTGGGGGAAGTCGGAGGCTGGAGAGGAAGAGGAAGAGCAAGCAGGAGATGGGTGGTCTCCACTGAGGAAGCCACAGCCCGGATAGGACATCTATCCCAGATTTGACAGCATGCAAGAAGTACAGGAATAAACGTTATTACATAGATTTCCAAACATTCCAGAGAAAAGGAATGAAGCAGGAGAGCAGAAAGAAAAAAAAAAAGCTGCGGGACATCAGCAAAAGAAGCGGAGCGAGAAGGAGGCCTACTGGGAGAAGGAGGATAAGAGGGAGTGGGGGGAACAGGGGAAACTGAGGCAGGACAGGTGGGTAGGAACAGGGCAAGAAAAGGATGCAGGTGCAGGACTAGACGCAGCCATTTTTTGGCTCCTTCCTGCCTCAGGTGCTTGGCATCCCTCCCAGCCCATGGCAAAACGTGTCCGCATTGCCGCACAAAGCGACAGCTGGATGCAGCACTGCTTGTCGAGGCCGACGCTGTTTGCGGCTTGACGGGAGGGTGTTCCCCCCCAAAGGGCGGTCTCCAGAGGCCCTGTGCCAGCTGCTGCCTGTGCCTGCTGGGATGCAGGTGGCCATCCAGCTTGGCGCTGGAGGGGGCGAGGCCGGGGCCTGCCCAGAGCCGGATGCCGAGCGTCCGTGAAAAGGGCTCCGAGGCACCAGGCCAAGACCGCTGCGTGGTCTCCAGCTTTTCAAGTGACTTGAAATCTCTTTCGTTCCTCCTAAAGATCCAGAGGACCTTGTCCGCGTGCCCCATTTTTCCCTGCCCTGTTCGCCACCTTGCGCTGAGGGTGGATCTACAAGGGTTGGGACTTGATCAGCAGCTGGATAAATCTGAATGGGTTTAAGCAGCCCCTTGGCCTGGGCAGCGCAGCCGTGCCGAAGGGTCACAGCATTAGAGGAGGATCGGGGTTCTCAGTCCAGCAGCTGGCCCATGGACCACCAGCAAGAGGCTGGGAGAGCAGGTGCCACCGGCCAAGCCGGACTGTGGCAGCTCGGCTTCAAAGCAACCACATCCACGACGTGGCCAGCCGACAGTCCGGAGTGCTGCCGCTGGGAAGGTCAAGGGGCACTGCGGGAGCACTGAGGCAGGCAGGCAGGCAGGCAGGCTCGCTCCCTTCCACCCACCCACCCACCCATGTTTGGCACGCACGGCCTGGCAAGCCGCAGGATCACCTGCCTGCACTGCTCTTGATCTCAGCAGAGGTGGCTTGTCCTGCTGCTCACTCATGAGCCAACGAAGCTGACCTGGGCGGGGAGTTCAGCCACATTCTTTCGGGCCTTTTCTGGAGGCGGCCAAGCAGGGCACGGCTCCCGCCACCCCCAATGGCACGGCCACCAAGGAAGTCGCCTCCCCCCCACCCCAAGCAGCGGCCGTGGGAAGCCTCCGACAGCTGCCCAGTGCCCCTTGGCTACAACGGCGAGGACTCCTTGTTGCCCTGGCTAAGTGGCCTGGTAGCATTTGGGGCTGCCCAGGTTCTGATGAGAGAGCAAGCCCGGGGGGATACTAACCCCCGCATTATGCTGCGGCCAGTTGGGGTGGCTGATGACCCCAAATGAGGACCGGTATGCTGCGGGGCGACCCATAAGCGGGGGAGGCTGCCTTGCAGGGCGAACCGAGTCCCTGGAAGGCCAGAGCAGACCTTGAGCGCCCTCATGGCTTCCAGCTGGCTGACGGCGGTGGAGACAAGCGCGTTGACCGTGTGCTCTGCCTGGAGCTTGAACTGCGTCTGGCGGACGGCATAGCAGACCGCTCGGGCCCGGTTGCTCACGATGTGGTAAGCATTCCAGGTGTCCGGGTCCATGTCCGCAGTGCATTCCGCCAGGGTCTGTTGGGGAGAAAGCAAGGGCGGGAGGGGATCAGGCCCTCTGCGTGGGCACTGGGCCACTCCAAGAGACCACGGCTCGGGCATTCCGGCTGCGATGCATGAGCGCGGCCCACCCTTGCCAGGGGGCTCAGTTGTCCTGCACAGGCGACTGCACCCGAGGCAAACTGGGTAAAATAAATGTAAGGTTGAAAATATACTGCAGAGTACAGGTGCTTACTCACATGAGTGCAATGGCACTCTGCACCCATGTTCCCCTGCAACTGGGCAGATGGTCTCTGGAACACAAGACCAGCAGCCACGGGTCTCCCTCTTCCCATGACTGCATCCAACCTCTTTTTAAAGCTGTCCGAATTGCGAATTTACTGCATTGTTTTCTACACTGCTCAAAAATCCTATTCATGCAGGCAATTCAGAAGCACCAAATGTTTCAATAAATGATGTGGACTGACCCTGCGTGGCCCAAAGCCGGGAGATGCGGCTAGGCTGAGCCCTGGTGCTGCCCCGGCCTCTCCGGTTGCTTTTGTGAGCAGCGGCGAACACGCACAAGCGGCACCAACACCCGTTTTGGCTCCCTACCGTGTCCTCGGTGCACAGGTACGTTCTTCTGCCTTCGACTTGAGCCTGGCAGTTGAACAGCGACACGCTCAACTTGGCCAGCGCCTCCTCCGTCAGGTCTGCGCACGACGCCTGGAGCCGAGCGATAACCTGGCGGCAAAGACAAGAGCGGGCGCACAGAAGTGGGGGAACGGCTCTCCTCCCCCTCCTCGCATCACATCTCAGCACAAAGGGGAATTTAGGGTTGGTGCCTATTGATCTGAAACAATTAAAAGCCTTTTCCTCGTGGCTGACCCTCGGGCCGGACAAATACAGACCTGCAAAGACTAGACGATATTTATTGTAATTAATGTATTTATTTAAGACTAGGTTTATTTGTTTAAAGTTCTTGTGTCCCTCCTTATTTCCTGCAGCTATGACATTGCATAGGAAGGATGGGGACTAGCACTGAATTAGTATTACCTTAAACTAGTATGAACTAATACTAGTCTGAATGGGCGTTTCTAGAAACTCTCCCCACACCCTGCTGCCCATCAATGGGATGCTCAGCTTCAGGGCTGACGGCCAGATCCACACCCGAGTAGGCCCTTCGGCACTCCATAACGCAGTGGGGGAGCCGTCAGGGTCACGGGGGAGAAAGGGCCCGCTGTTCCCTTGCCCCAGACAGCCGCACAAAGCCATTCTACTTTGGGTGGAGCTCTAAAGAGCCATGCTCCTGCTGGGGACAGGGGAGAAGCCCTTACTCAGCTTCTCAAGAACTGAGCAGGAACTCTGCACGGGGCCTAGAAAGCCTCTTCCAGTCCAAGGACCGAACTCAATTTTGGGCACCTTTTCCACCCACGCAGAATGACTGCTACGGCCGTCCTTGCACTGGTGCCCTGCAGATGCTCCGACCTTAAACTCTCTTCAGCTCTGGCAGGCACGGTCAAGAGTTGGACGCTATTTATTTCCATGCAGCCCACTAGACAGAGCCCTGGGGACGTGCACTGCAATTACTCAAGCACAAAAGAGCTCCGGACTTGAGTTCTAAAATCGCTGGAAGGTGGGACCAGGCTGCAGAAGGCCAGACTAACATATCTATTCTGGAAAGCAGGGTGGAGGAGCCTGAGATAATCTCCCAGGATTACCCTAAACACGGTCCTATAAAATGTTAAAGCACACGCTACCTTATGGTGACAGGAATCCAGAGGTGACAGGTGCAGCCGCTCAGTCAAGAACTGCTCATCTGCTGTGGTCATCTCAAAAGGAACGTGCGGAAGGCTTCCTGGATTTGGGGCAGCTGTGGGGAAAGAAGCTGCCGGAGCGGCTGGGGTGGCACTTTGAGTGAGCCAGCCAAAAAACCCAGCGGAGGGGTCAGTGACCCCAAGCACGAGGAGGGGGAGGAAAAGGGCCGTGGGCTTCAGAGGCAGCATCTTCAGAGAATAATCTGAAAGAGAGAGACAGATGCAACTTGAGATCATTCACATTTTCTCTTGCTCCCACATAACTACCATTAATCTGTAGATCATTAGAAGCGATCTTAACTGTCATTTTTGGCAGGATAGCAGGTACAAGCTACTTAAGAAATAAAAGCCAACCTCCCCCCACACCCAAACTGGTATTTTGCCTTAAAGATTCTATTCAAACGAAGTATTTAAAATCCAGCTCTCAGGAAAGGCTACATATTCACGCTTTCAGTGAAAAGTAAGGCTCTGAGTGAACATTCTTCTGTGCCAACAAAGACAGCCCCATTCCTTATAGAGAAGGGCTCCTCCCCCTGCCATAAAGACCAAACAAAAAGCAAGAGAAAAGCTCTAAAGCTGCCTCTGTCTTTTGGAAGAAAATAGCGCCCCCCCCCCCCCCGCCGCATGCAAGCCATTTAGGAGGAAGAAAGGCGGCTATGAACAAGCTCCAGAAGATAAGCCCCCCGGCAGCAAGGGGAGTGCTTGGTGCTGCAAAGACCCGGGGCTTCCGCAAAGAGATGCTCGAATGTGCATATGCTAATTTGCATCTGCTCTACACATCCTCGTCTCCCAAAAATCTGCCTCTTAAGGACAGCCGCATTTGCAAAACGGGATGCACGGAGAGGGAGAGGAGCGCCTTTGACTTCAGGAAGAAAACTGAGGCTGGGGCGCAGGAAGTGAGGCACTCGTGGGCAGGCAAGCAAACAAAAAGCAGCTAAGCCGGGGGTGCCGAGGCACCAGGCGTGCTTAGGCAGGCGGCCCCCCAGATGGCGAGGGCGGCCCCCGCCCCGGGCCCCCGCTCTAGGCGGCCTCCGGGGGACTCGAGTTCCGCGGGGAAGCCTGGAAACTGCCCGCTCCATACCAGCCCCTCCCAGCTCGAGCTTCGCGGGCAGCCGAGCAGCAAGGAATTTTATGGGAACAGCTGACGGTGACGTCAGGGGCGCTTCGGCCAATCGGCGCCTGCGGCGACTCACCTTTCCCTCCGGCGCCGGTCAGGGGAAAGGGATGAATGGCTGTGCGCCGACCGGCGGGGCCAATCAGCAGAGAGCGCCGGGGCTCCCCCTCCGCTTTGCGGGCCCCCGGAAGGGGAAGTCGCGGCTTGATTGGCTCTCTGGCTCACGCGGGGTTGGGCCGCGTGCGAAGGGCATGAATGGAGGCGCAGCTCGCCGCCGGAGACGGCGCGGGCGGGATGGAGAAGCTGCGCGAGCTGCGGGTGGGCTTCATCGGGGCCGGGCGCATGGCTGGTGCGGTGGCCCAGGCGATGCTGATGGCAGGTAAGGGGCCGGCCGCCGCGGGCGAGCGCGCAGCGTTCATCAGAAAGCCCAGCGGAAAGGCGCGAGCTTTCGCGACCTGCAGAGCTCTTCGTCGAGCAAGGAGCTCCACAGAGGACCGTGTGACGCGGGTAGACGCTGGCCCTCTCCTCCCCTGGCTATGCAGACATTGTTTCCCCCCGTTTCTCGCTGCTCTCTCCGCCTCGGCCCAACCCGGCTGCTTTTTGTAACACCTTGTTCGATGAAGGGAGCTGGAGACGTGGGAAGCTTGTACAGGTGTGTGATCTTTGATTTGGCTCCACGAAGGTAATCCTGCACGCTTTATAGATTTGGGGGTCTTGCGTATGACCACCAGTTTCTGGTATAAATCAGCAGAGTCTTTAAAGATGCTCTCCTGTGCTCACACCAGGTTGGGAGTCCAACTGTACCAAGTAAGGCTTATTTGTGGGAAGGGGGAGGATCCGGAGCTCAGTGGAGGAGTACAAGGCCTCGTTCACATGCTGTCTGTGGGCATCCCAGAGCCATCCATGTGGCTGGAGTCCTGTGCTGGATGAACCCTGGGTTGGATCCAGCAGGGCGCTTCTTACATTCACATGCCTGCAGGTCGACCAGCCACCATAAAATGTTCTCTCCAACGAGGTGTGATGGCGCAGAATTTGCTATCAGTCATGATCTGCTCAAAGAAATATAAAAAATCAAGGACTGGTGCCAAGCTAATCTTTGCTCAGGCAGTCTATGAGGGGCAGTCTGTTGTGTGTATGTGTGTTTTGTGGTAGATACCATCGTTTGTATAACACACTTATTGTTCATTGGTTTGGTACTATTTTATGAAAGGCAGCTTTAAAATCCCACAAATAAATAAATAAACAAATACATGTGGGTGGTCCCAGGTTTGACACAGCTAGTCAAAAAGGGGGCTTGGAGTTGCGGTTGGCAATGCTGAGGAAGAAGCTTCTCCAAGCTGACTCTTTAAGGGAGCACCAGAAAATGGCACAGAATGGAAAATATAAGGCCCAATGTGTAAGGCAGAGTCATGCGGCATGTTTATATGCATGTGTGTGTCTGGACGATACCTTAGTGTGTGCCTTTGAAATGCATACTGTTTTTGAATCACTGGCAGGCAGGCAAGAGAGATCTTTAAAATGCAGGCTAACTAATCAAATCTCATTTGAGTTTAAAAAAAGAAAACCTCTTGTAAACAAACCTTGGAGTGGCTAGTTTTGTCTGGGGGGCAGGTAGAATTTTTTTAGGCCTTCTCCATCTTTTGGCAACGCTTCAGTGGAAAAAGTTTCTCAAGGCCACTTCAGACATGAATAATTGCTGTACTAAAGGAATAAAAGTGTGTGGAAACACTCATTAACACAGGTCAGTCATATCATCTGTCACCATCAAATATTGTTGATGTCACAATACCAGTTGTTTTGTTCACTGTAAAGGGCCTGTGGGTGGTGTGTTCATTTAAAAAATATTACAAATTATTACATCATCTTTCAATTACCTAGTACTGGGCCTTTTAAGTCCAATGCACAGTTACTTTAGAGTAAGTCCTATTGTAGCAGTAGGGCTTCCTTGCAAGTAAATATGAGAAAGATCATGCTGTGAATTGTGCTGGGAGGGGGTTTTGCTACTGAGAGTAACTGGGATTTTTATGGTTTGGTGGAAAGTTACTGCAGCTCCTGGAAAGATACTAATATGTATCTCGTTCATCCCCTTTTGTTCATTGTAGCACACGGTACTCTGCTGAGACATGAAACTTTCCCCAAACTTTTCCTATCCCATGGTAGTATGGAAACTTACACAAGGAAAATGTGTGTGATGGCACAAACAGTGTTGGTTTCTTACCTTACCCAGGGGCTTTCTTAATGTAACTTCTTTCTAAATGTATAATCTGAGGTGTTCAGCATATTTTGCCAATCAGGGAATGAACATTAATTAACCTGCAGTTGATGCAAAGGTCTCATAAAGGGCTCTGACTTGCAAAAGACCCTGCTGAAACAGTGAGGTCGTATTCGCAGGTGTTGCCCTTAGCCAAAATGACTAGTGACAGGAAGATAGCATCTCCACCACAGACCCCCAGGCACTTGGAACCGTTCTTCCACTTGCAAAAACAGAGGTGGCTTACAGAGCAGAAAGCAATAAAAAGCTATTGCAGACAGCACGAACTCCCGAAATAAAATGCAAATGCATGCAGAGAGAAGCACCAACAAACCAAGTCCTAAAGAGACAGAGAAGGGGCCCGAATGGGGGAAGGAGTGTGGCATTTTCCTTTCCTCCTTCGCCTTCGATGGGGGAAGCAGAGACACCCTCCCTCTCCACTGATCTGTGCTCTTGCCCCCGAGCAAGTCCTTGTCACCTCTGGTGATCAGGGAAGCAAGGATTTAACTGCAGATAAAGTAAAGACCTGCAGGAAAAGAACACGGTTTCCAAGAGGCAGGGCTGTTCTGGCAGCTGGGGGGCACCTGCATCTCCCGTGGCAAGACATTCTACATCCGCATCGACTTCCGAAGGCCTGGGACACAGCAGGGCCACCGAAGTGGGCGGGCTCATATGGGGAAGCCCTCCTTGGGCACTGCTCCTTTAAGCCGTGCGGCACATTAGTGGTGATGATGGGCACTTGAACTGCTCCTGGAAATGGCCTGGCGCAGAGGGTGCTTCAAGGGAACCCCGGGAAGCTCCAAGCCCCGCCTGGCTCGAGCAGCGCCCTTCCAGCAGCTTCCTGCACTAGTCGCTGGACAGCGTGTGACCGCAGTCGATCCAGTCATGTGCTCTGGTGTCACGCGTGGGCTGCCGTGGCTGGTCTGACAGCTGGCCCATCAGAGCAGTTCTGCCTGCAGCTGTTGCCTCAGCATCTGGAGCCAAGCGCTCCCCAACCGGAAGCCCGCTCTACAAGCAGAGCGCACCCTTACCCTGAACAAGCTGCGTCCTGCTGCGGCCAGGGGCACCTGGCCCGGGCGAGCTTCAGCTTGGCCTTCCTCCTCCAGTCCGTCGCTGACCGCAGGTGGTCAGAGCCTCCATGACCTCCTGGAATGAGGTTGGGAGAAGCCCTTCGTCGGCATAGTGGTGGCAGCCAACGCCAAGCCTCCAGGTGCCCACCCCTAGCCATTCTGTGCAGAGGTTAAACCGTGTAGAGGCAAGAAGGAGCTGGGCAGGACACCCTGGGCCAATGGTGAAGGTGCCAAGCAGGCGTTCCCAGCACTACCTTCTGGAATCTGCCCTCCAGGAAAGGCCAGGACCAGCTTCTTACATTATCCTGAAGCCCCATTCCAGCCAGACAGTCCAGGAAGTGACCACAGTCGACGGTGCCAAAAGCCAGCCGAGCAAAGCGAGATACATTCCCTTCATCCGGCTTCTGGCATAGATCCTCCACCAGGGCAATCGAGGCTATTTCAGTCCCAAAACCAGGTTGGAAGCTGGGCTAAAATGGATCAAGATAATGCAACTCGTCTGGGAAATGGGCTTCCACCACCCGCTCGTCCACCATGTCCAAAAAAGGAGCCTGGGAGACCAGACGGTAATTGCCCGATACTTTGGCATTTAAAGAGGTTTTATGTAGTGGTGTGTAAGCTACACGGCACCGTTTCCTTTCTTATGGAGGCATCAATTGCAGTATCAAGCTGCTCGGGGGGCCAGGATACTTCGGTCCAGAGAAGTCTTGCTTCCTTCAAAGGGGCAGAGCTAGCAGGGTCTTGGCTGTGGTGGCTCTTTCCCCCTGGAACTGGCTCACGCCAGAACTCACCTTAGCGTCACCATACCAGTTCTTGGAAAGAACTGCAAAATGTTTCTGTTCAGGAGTGAATGTGATGGAGCAGCAGGTGGGTCTGCTCGGAACCTTACCTGGCGTGTATGGAAATGGCACCACTGTAGCTTTGACGCTTGTCCTTCAGTGTAGGCCACTTGGAAGTCACACATGCGATAAACTTGTAAATAAGTTAGCAGGGGGTTTACTGTGTCTGGACAATGTGCGATTCAGCCCCGGGACTTCTTTCCTTTCTTCTCATTCCCTTTCAGGAGAAGTCCAGGCAGCGAACATCTTTGCCAGTGCCCCGTCCAACAGGAACCTGGCCAAGTTCCAGGTATGTGAGGGCAAGAAAGTGGGATGTGAAGAGGGAACATGGGAAGCCTGAGACCAGAGAGGGTGGCCAGAAGGCGTGGAAAGAGAGACTCAATTCGGAAGAGCCAGGTCCTCATCGTCACTCAGCCACGAGGCTCGCTGGGTGACTTCGGGCCCATCATGGACTCTCCAGCTAACCTACCTTACAGGGTTGTTGTGAGGATAAATGGGAAAGGGGGAGGACCTTGCAAACCACCTTGGTGTTCCTGCAAGAACATGAAAAGAGGCTGGGTGTAAAAGTACTATTACAGTATTAATAGTATAATAGTAATAGTAGTAATAGGCATGATGGATATGCGCTGTGTTCTGGGCTGGAGGGAGCATGTCCTGCTGAGAACCGGTTGCTGCTCTTGCTCGTTGTACTTGTTGTGTCGTGTGTGTATTCTGACGGTGATGCTCAGGTTTCCCATGGAAGCCCCTTAGCGTGCTTTCCCGTGGCGGCTAGACAGAGCGCAGGGATCACAGGAGAACTGAGATTCCCAGCTTGGACCTCAGGAACACACACCGAGGCGAGAGGGCTGGGACTCCCTCCGCAGCGATCGCCCGCTCCCCTCAGGGCTGGCACAGCGACTTCCACGCTGCCTGCTGGGCTATGAGGTTGGAAGACCGACCTCGCAGCCAGTGGTTTGTGGGCATTCCAGGGGGCAGGGCGGAGAGGACTAAGGCCCTGCCACAAAACCCGGGATCTTGGTGGCCGCCCTCCTCCTTGTGTTCTGGGGGAAAAGTCTTAGATGGCCGATTCAGCTATGTCTCCGTCCTCCTTCCGTCCACCATCAGACGCCCGTAATCCTCCAAGTTCAGAGGGGCACAGTAAGCCACACTGGATGGCACCGTTAGAGATGTGATTATCTTAGATGGTACACAAGTATGAATGCTAATAAAATGATCATCTCCTTGATCTCTCTCTTGTTGGAAGGACTTTGACTGCAAGACCACGCATTGTAACCTGGAGGTGGTGGAAAACTGCACCGTCGTCTTCCTCGCTACCAAGCCCCACATCCTCCCGGCAGTCCTGCGAGAGGTTGCTCCCGCTGTCACTTCCGACCACATGGTCATTTCCATGGCAGCTGGAGTCACGCTCCAGACCCTGGAAGAGGTGCAACCCTGGGAGAGCAACTGGGCTGTTTTGCAGAGTGGGCATTAGCGGAACGAATTTGTATGTGGTGTCCTCATATTAACAGCAGCCTGGTGAAATGAATGTTATTCAGTCAGACTGAATAATGTTTCTTAATGTGGCGAGTCCTGGGGAAATACTCTGGCTTGAGTCAAACCTCTGTGGGAAGTTCCTAAGTGCTTGCAAAGCGTGGCTTTATACATATTTAGCATGCAGAGGCTGGGATCAGACAACCCAGTAACCCACACTTAAGGGTTAAGTATGGGTTGTTGCTGGAATGTGGGTGTTCGTGTTGTCTGAACCCAGCTGAGATAACAAACAGTGGTGAAGAATCCACAGTCTACAAGCCAACAACTACCCATGAGTTCTTATCATGGGTTGTTTGTGATTAACAAGCCATGGCTTATTAGCGCAGCGGCATTTGGACAACACAACAAGTCCCAGTCCAGGGCTGGCGTGTGGCTTTCTGCACTGCCTGAACCAATTGTACTCTGCCCTCTTTCTGGTGTCACAGATGCTTCCCGCTGGGACCAAGGTACTTCGGATCATGCCCAACCTTCCCTGCGTGGTCCAGTCTGGCGCAGTTGTCTTGTCTCGGGGCACCTCGGCCGGGGAAGACGAAGTCACCCTGCTGAAGCAGCTGCTGTCCCCTTGCGGGCTGTGTGAAGAGACCCCTGAAGCCTACATAGACGTCCACACGGGGCTGAGCGGCAGCGGTGTGGCCTATGTGAGTGGCTTTCTGGCAGGGACACCATGGGCTTGGCACTCCTGGCCAACAGGAGCCACGATACCTGGCCTCCAAGAATGCCAGTAATTTGCAGGTGGCTGCTGTTGCGTGAAAAACCATGCCCCTAGGTTTCACGGCTGCTAGAACGCAGGTGTGTTGGCACACCTGTCTTCACGCCATTCTGTCTACACTAGCTCTCTTTGCTTTGCCAAGCTGTTCCACGCTGGTGCCTTGATGCGGCCTGGCTGATGGAGGCTGTGGCCCCCCACATCGGCAGGGCGGGTTGGTCTTGGGGATGCTGACGGCTTTTCCTCTCCTCTCCCTCTTCCCCACTCCACTGCAGGTGTACACGTTTGCTGAGGCACTGTCAGAAGGTGCGGTGAAGATGGGGATGCCGTGGGCCTTGGCCCAGAAGATAGCCGCTCAGACACTCTTGGTAACGAGCACGGGGGGGGGGGGGTACTGCAGGCCCTAAATGCCCCACCCCATCCTTTCTTTTCTCCTCCTCTCAAAGCTAAAAGAACGCCTGCCTGCCACCGCCTGGAAGCTGTTTGCGGGCGGAATGACCTGGGGATGGCAGCTGTGCTCACCTCCAGGTCACCTGCATGCTTGCATGCACTTTTCTTACTTAGGATCCAGGTAAACGTCGGCTCAGTAGTGTGTGAACAAATTCTCCTGAATTCACTGGGTTCTTACACAGGATCTCCAGGTAGACCAAGCCCACCTCTTCCCAGCCGATCCTGTGGAGTGGGCCCCGATCCTTCAGCCCATGCCATGCTGAGGAGCAGGGCCTCGAAAGGAATCGCGTGCTGTAGGGCTGTGGGCCACGTTACCTGCCCAGGGAACTGTCACAGCTCACGCCTGTTTGATGGTGAACTTAGCTGTTCTGCAAGGCGTGTGCTTTTCACACTCTGAGGACTTGTGTTCCTGCTTCCTTCAACTGAGTTGGACTTCCTTGTTCTGTCAGAAGCTGCCTTGAGGTGCAGAGACACCGGGTTGCCAATATGTGCAATCAGAGGAGCAGAATCTTGGGCACGGGGACCAAATCTGGCCGCGCTGGGGGTCCCCCGAAAGCTGTGCTGCCTTCCTGGCCTGTTCTGGGCTTTAGTGTGGTTTTCTCCATTCTGAAGGCTTGCAATGCTTCTCCTAAGCTTGGTTACTGGCAGGTGTAGCTTGAAGGCAAAACATGCTGGTACTGCTGGCCTGAGGACCGAAAGAGTTTTCTGCACCCCTCGCTTAAACGAATGCTTACCCGACCACCCAAAGAGCTAGCGGGCCTATTGCCCCGATAGCGTGTGGGCCACATTCCCATGTCCCTGTCCAGCCTTCAAGAGATGACTGCACCCCACCGAGGAAAGAAGTCTGTGGCTGGCACTGATAGGTAGATGGAATATACCATCACCTGAACTTAGGTAGGGCGTTTGGAATAGAAGAGAGGAACACCGCACGTTTGAGCGGAATGTCGCACAGCTACGGCATCTCTTTGTGCCTTCCTACATCTGGCCAAATTTTGTGCTCGGGAGCACGATCCTTCCCTGTCTGGACCCAAGCTTTTGCCTGCTCCGGCACACCCTCCTCTTCCCAGCTCGTCAAAGAAAGCCTTGACTCCCATCGCCTTTGTGGCTCTCGCTCTGTGCCGTCTTGGGGACATCTCAGTAAGGCGGATGGGGCGCACCTTGGGAGCTTTCTCGGCTGAGCAGCAGCCGGACGTGGGTTGCGCATGCTCTCTGTGCCCCGTTCCCATCCCCGAGATCCACCTGGGCCTTCTCTTCTTCCAGGGAGCAGCCAAAATGATTCTGGAGACGGAAGAGCACCCGGCAGTTTTGCGGAGCGCCATCTGCACTCCGGGGGGCACGACCATCCATGCTTTGCACGAGCTGGAGAAGGGCTCTCTCCGGGCCACTGTGATGAATGCTGTGGAGGCCGCCACCCGCCGGGCTCAAGAACTGGGCAAGAAGTAGCGGGCAGAGTGGCTGGGAGCCTGTGGGTTGAAAGGGCTCCCTTTCCCCCGCCAAGGAAGAGGGTCCCCCACCAGGGCATGGCCTTTTCGTCGCCAGTCAACCTTTCTCCAAGACCGTCATGCTAATAAGCTCTGATGAACTTGTGTGATCCATTCCAAACTTGTTCGCTGGAGGCCTGACGTGTAATAAACATATAAAAAGCAGGCCGTCCTTGCCAATGGCAGGATCTGTCTGCCTGCTTTTCCACAGAACAGACTGATTATGTTCTGTTCCCACCACCATCCCTTAAGTATTAAACCGACCAGTTTTTTGGGACTTCTTGTCAAGATGGGAGTTACTTTTGAGCCTTCAGTTCCTTAAATAGTATAATTTGGTGTATTTATATACAGAGGTTATCCAATTGTCCAATCACTAGCACAAACATTCTGTCCTGCTGTAATGTTCAGCTTTAAAAGATGGAGCTAATCAAGCCACAGACATCTGGCACAATAATCGAGCAGTCGGATTCCAGAAGTGTAGCTAGGAATGAGGGGTGAGGAGAGTGTCTTGGGGGCCGTGAGATGCTTTGGATGCCCAGAAGGAAGGATGGAGACAGCACTGATCCTGGAGCTGGGCCCCCCACTCCACTCCCCCCGCCCCCCACGCATCAGGCCCAGAATAACGGCCAGCCGCTTCTGCTGGGTCGGGAAGCTGAGCTTCAAGAGGGAGTGGAAGAGACAGAGTGAGGTGTCTGGAAATACTGCCTCTGGGTGGCATGTCCCCTACGGAGAGCCGCAGCTGAGAACTGCTTCCTGGCTGCATTGCAGAAGGTGCAAGGGTGAGGAGGCGAAGACGGTGTGCAAGCCCCAGTTACAGGTTTACAAGCACTGAAGGCACACTCCATAATGATTAACCCCATGGGTTTCTGAGCAGCACAGGCGATCATGTTAGAAGAATGAAGGTGACCGGTCCATCTAGCTTAGCTTGGGCAAGACGGTTCTGCAGGGTTCCAGGCGGAGCAGGGCGCTTCCTCGCCCTGCCTGGGGATGCTGGGAAAAAGAGGGCGGAGCTGCAGCCTTCTCAAAGGTCTTTGGGCAGCCCGGGCAGGCATGGAGCCCCAAGCACAGGGAGACTCGGGCATTCCAGAGGTGCAGCCATCCTCACCATCAACCCCGTGCCTTGTAAATGTTCACTTAGCTGCAGGGACTTGGGTTTTTGTTGTTTTGTCCCGTTGGGAACATTGCGCGTAAGGGACCGATTCTGTGTGCGCTTAATGGAACGCCTCAGTGGCTGCAGGACACGGAGGGAGGGCGCTGCTGTGCCCATGCTGGTGTTGTATTGTGCCCCACCTTTCTTCCTCTCGCAAGGAACTCGAGCTGGCTTGCATAATTCTCCTTTCCATCTCTTCCTCACAACAACCCTGTGAGGTAGGCTGAGCTGCAAGTCTGCCGGGCCCAAAGCCCCCCAGTGAGCGCCATGGCTGGCTGAGGATTAGCATCCGGGTTGCCTGGGTCCCAGTCCTGCGCTCTTACCCGCTACGGCACCGTGGCTGTGCCTCAGTTTCCTGTGGGTAATGGGTTGATCACTGACACGCCAGACTACTGGGCCCATCGGCCTGATCCGGCAGGGCTCTTGTGCTCTCCCAACTGGCGCTGTGCTTTTCAAGTTGATGGAGCAGCTTATTTTGTAAGCGCTGCCCGTGTAGGTCTGGCTAAATAGGAAACACTTGGGCACCCTTACCCTAAATCACACACAAGACGAGAACTCTGAAGGAAAGAGAGAGCCCAAGTTATCCATTTGATTTATTTATTTGACTCGTCTGCTGCAGCCCTTGGGCATCAGCGCTCTACTTGAGTCTGTGTTCAGAATTTATATTTCTGCAACTTTAACCATTTCATTCTAGGCCGATGCTTTGGCTGGGAGGCAGAGCCAGGCCTTGTGTCCGTTTTGCTGCCTCCCACCATCCATCCCCCAAAACGCATGTCTAACAAAGTCTCCAGGCAGTGGCATCCATTCATTGGTGCAAAGCAGTGCCCACTGCTGGCTGCGGGTCTCGCTGGTCACAATCCAGTGTGTGTAAAAAGGCATTTTTTAAAAAGAGAAAGATTCTGCACAAAGCTGAGTGTGGAGGAAGGAAGGAATGAAGGAAGGGAAGAACAGCCAGCCCTTTCTGCAAATATTAAATTCTTACAAAAATGATGTTTGAATCAGGGTACCCTGGCACCGCAGTAAGAGTTCTATGGCGTGTGTGTGAAATTAAGCAGGGGCTTCTTCCCCACAGACAACTCAGCTGGAGCTGGAGCTGGCACCCTTTGCAGTGATACTTCAATTCGAATCCTGCCTTGCACCTCCTAAGTGTGTGCTTCAGACCACAACGGTTTTCTTCAAAGCGTTAATATTGGATGTGGTTAAGCCACCACTGCTGTGGTTGCATAGCAGACATTCCTATACACTTCTGTGAGCCTGCCATGAGATTTGAGGCGTTCTGCATTTGAGAAGACTCCAGCTTTTCAGCAATTCCTGGGACAGGACAAGTCCTCCATCTTCTCCTGCACAGAGAGTGTTTTGAAGAAACAGCCACCTTGCAGAAATGACAGAATTGTGCCAGCGTGTTTCCACCCTTTGGAACAAGCAAGAATTGAGCCCTAATATTCTGAGAGCAGAGCCACCCGTTCCCTGACTCCTCACTAACCCCATGTGATTAACTCCCTCGGTGCATATAATCCACACTGCCATTCCCACATACTCTGCAGCCCCGGAAATAGGGAATGGTTTCTTTAGAGCCTAGTTCAAGCGGCCAAAAGGGCAATGATCCCTTCTAACAATGGAGACTCACACCCAAGTGCCAGAGCCCACGTGGGAAAGAAGTGGACAAGAGCATTCAAATAACAGTGCTTAGCAGAGTAAAATTAGTTTCCCTTGGCAGCTTTTGGCTGGAGGCAGCTGCAGCGCAGAAAATGCTTCACGCAGGGCACAAAATTATCGAAGAACCAAACCCCGAGGAGTGCGGGGCCGAGCTGGGCCTCGGGACTGTAACAGTAGCATGCGGGAAATCTGTTCTGGTTGCGGGGACGGAGACAGAGAGGGTCCTGCAGGCCCCCGACCACCAGCGGCTTCAGCCTGCGAGAGCAGGTCAGGTTGGCAGCCAGCAGCACTGTGACCTGGTCTCTGACCCACAGCTGGTGACACAAAGGGGGTCGTGGGGGGCGGCAGGGTGCCAGCTGCCCGGCCTGGCCCGGCCGCAGCTTCCAGTAAAGCTTGGTGACGTTGGCACTGTGGATCTGGTCACCGCTGTGCCGCCCCCATCCGGAGGGGCAGCAGCTGGCGGCGGCTGCAGGGGCGCGGCAGTGGCGGGGCAGGCGGAACAGGGGCGCCCAGCGCCCCCGTCAGCCTTGAGGGCCGGCGCACCCACGCCGCCGTGGGCGCGCTGGCCGGAGATGCCGCGCCGCTTCGGCCAGCGCCAGAACCACCCGGGGCCGGCCTTGAAGGCGCGCTGCGCCCCGCAGATCCGCCCGGCGAAGGCTTCGCTTGGGCCTGGATGGCGGCCGGAGAGAGGCGCCCCGCGAGGAGCCATGCGTGGACGGCGCGGTCGACCTGCTCCTCGCTGGCCAGGCGCACCTTCTCGCGGTGGGTGCCCCCTCGCCGCCCAGCTGGCCCGGGACCGGCGCAGCCCGCGCTCGTCCCTGAGCCAGCCGCGCAGGGTGGCCCCGGGCACCCCGAGGCCGGCCGCTCGCCGCTCCTCCCGCGCTCGCCGGCCCGCAGCTCGTCCCTGATGGCGAAGGCCCGGCGCAGGGCCACCCGGGATGCGGCCGAGGGCGGCGGGGGCCCTGCGAGGCCTCGCCCGGCAGCGCGGGGGCCCGCAGCTCAGGCGGCAGGCCCGGCCCCGGCAGCGCGGCCTGCTCGCCCGCCATGGCGGGGAACCGCGGCGCCCGGGAGCGGGCCCGAGAGCGACGCCATGCGGGGCGCCGCCTCCCGCCTCGGCTCGCCTTCCGCCGGGGCCTGGCAGCCTCCCCGGTGCCTCCCGCCGCACGGACCACTCCGCTCCTCTCTCCTCCCCCGTGTCGCCTTCACCTTGGGCTCTCCCATTCCCTCTCCTGGATTCATCCAATCCGTGGGGGGAGAAGGGTGAAGTATTCCTCCTTTAAATCCGGATTACTCCACTTTAGGAACGAGTTGCCCTTGAACTGTTTTATTTTCTGACACCGAGGGGGAGAATGTTTTCCACTACGAAGAGCCCCAGACCAACTTTGCGCGCACCCACCCCCGCTCCGTGTGCGTCCGTCGGCGCACTTTCTCTTTTCATATTTCTCCCCCGCCCCGGCCTCGGCTATTCCATTGTTGCAGACTTTGGGGGGGGGCTGCGGAAAGGGGAAAACAGAGAAAACATTATTAACTAATAGATACAGCGAGATCCCGAACGACAACACAATAAAAACCTAAACGCGTCACCACACGTCTCCTTCAGCGCCCCCTTCCCCTCATCCCGCGCCTTTTCCTCCGCCGCATGCTGCCGCCCCCCCCCATTCTCAGGGAGAGCCGCCTTGCGCCGGGAAGGCCGCGTCCCCACAATCCTCCGCGCGGCGCGTGTCTGCTCTCTTTCCCCCGGCGCAGGGCGAGCGGAGCAGTGCTCTGTCCAGCGGGCTCTTTTCGTCGCCTTCCCTCCGCTCCCGCCGTGTGAGTAGCGCCCCGATTTGCTCCGGGCCGAAGCAGGGGACGGGAAGAGGTTGCCAGGCAACGCTCTGTGGGACGGGGAAGGGGGGCGAGGGGTCTGCCGGGTTGGCCTGAGCCCCCGCGACCCATCATGCACCGCGGGAACTTTGGCCTGCCCGGCGATGGCACCCCCTTTAAAGATGAGGCGCTCGCGGGGAGAAAGGAGGGTGCAGCCCGGGGTCCCTTCTCCCGCAGCGCTTCCTCTCTCTCGGACTAGGGCGAGGGGAGCGGCTTGGCCTTGCCACGCATGCCCTTCTTGCCCGCTTTACCCACGATGCACCCGAGTGCATTTTCTGTGGCTCGGGATGCTGCCCGTGGGGGCAGCTGCTTGGCGGCTTTGTGAACAAAGCGCGGGATTAGATGGATCCCTGGCCTGATCCTCTTTCTATGTGTGATGGATTGGTTAAGGGTGCTGGACTGGAACTCGGGAAGTCTGGGTTTCAGGCCCCACTCAGCCATGTAATCCACTGGGTGACTCTGGACTAGTCGTTGTCTCTTAGCTTAACCTACCTCACAGGGTTGTTGTTGAAATGGAAAGGAGAACTTTGTAAGCTGCGTTGGG